TGCAAAAAAAACTATCCATTTCTTTTAAGAGATTAGGGTAAATTTGAGTACAATTTAACCCTTTTCCCATTTTAAAAACAATATATTTTTCTACTTTTCTTAGATTTTTAGACTTAATTTATGCAGATTGTCATGTTAATTGTCTATGTGGTGTCAACTATTCGTTTAGAATATTAACGGGTGTTTGCTCAAATGGTATTTTTAAAATTTTTATGAAAAGTTACGAGCGATGTTGAAATTTTTGAAATAAATGTCAAAATTCAGAAATATTCTTTCATAGTTTAGCCTAAATAAATTCATAAATTTGAAATTTGTTGATTTTTTATATATAATTATTATATGGTAATGATATATTTAATTCTTTATACTAGATCCAACTTTCGAATTTAGATTTAGTGTGTGAGCCACTCAATTATGCTCATAGCATGAACTATAAATATTAATTGGACAGAAAATTACGCTACATATTTTTTTAACTTTTTTTATTTTGATATACTAATTTGGACATTTTATGAAAATTTCAAAAACTAAAAAAAGAAAAAAAAAAAAAGCTTATACTGTTCTGTTTCTGCGTGCTCCCCGAAGTTGAAATTTTTATGCATTCTCTCCTTCCACCCACTAATTACTAATTCCCATATGGATAAAAATCAATATTTTCATATATTTTTATAATTTATAAAAAAAAATTAAAAGAGTAAAAATCATAGTATCATATTAATTTGTTATAATTTTTTTTCTTCAGACAACTACAAGACCGTAAAAGTATATCTTTTAATGGGCCTAACCAAAAAATATATTTCATATAGAAAATATAGATAAAAATGGATCTTATCCTCTATTATCTTATTTTCTATTTCGGGATCAAAGAAATATATTTTAAAACAGCTCATATATGTTGTTACTTAGAATAAACGTTTCCAGAGAAAGTGAAATACATCTTCAAACAAGAGGGACCTAATCCTAATAGTTGACAGATTCTTGTGGGTGGATTCCAAATAAATATCTAAATGAAACACATTTTTCAGACTCCCTTGACTTTTCTTTTCCCAGATTCTTTTCTTTATTCTATTCAAATCTTTATCATTTTCTCTCAAATTTTTAGTATGTTTTTAATTTCTTCCTGCCAAATAAACAAAAAATAATATGATATTTTTTTAAGTATGTATTTGTTTTAATTTCTTCTCTCTTTCCTAGATTTTAATTTGTTTATTTATTATTTATTTGTTATAATTTTTTTCTTCAGATGACTATAAGACCGTACAGTATATATTTTGTTGGGATTTTTTTGGATATTTGTGGGAAATGAGAAAAAACGGGTAGTTTTCAAACCATTTGAAGTTTTTATTTAAACACCAGAATTTGTTTAATTATTAATTATTATAATCCTTTAATATATATATATATATATATATTTTCTTTTTTCTTTTTAACGGCAACTTTTCTTTGAGCATAAGGTCATCCAAAAAAAAAAGAAATTTCTTTGAGAATACATTTTTATAATCTAATAATAATATTATTCAGTAACAAATATAACTAGTAATGAACATGAACAATACGCTGAATTGCCCTTTCTTCACAGGGTTTCTCGACATATCGTAATTCGCAATCAATTTAGGGCTTTGAGAATTTCAAAACGACGGCCGCTGCAAATCAATCGACAATCGAATTCGAGACACGAGAAATTAAAATCTCAACACTACTACAACCGAGAGTGATACGAATTAACAGGAAAATAAGACACCACAATCGGAGCTCCGGAAGGCTTCGCCGATTTTTTCTTCGATTTTCGTTTCTTCGCCGGAATCTCCTTCACGTCGGCGGCGACTCGCGACGATAAGCAGCACCCGAACATTTCTGAGAAGAAGAAGCCCATACTCAATCAATCGAATCGATCGCCCAAATTTGATTTTTTGCCCTAATCGAGAATTTAACCAGTAAATTAATTCGTGGATTTTGTGAATCTGTGATAACCGGAAAATGAGGAATTTATAGAGCTATGATTTGCTTGCTCGAGAAGCAAGAAACCGTCGATGCCAAGTCCAAAGCACGAAGCGGCCAGCCATGGCGGCTTTGACGTCTGTCTCTCCCCCAATAAGGAATAATAATAATTATTATTTATTTCGTTTTCATTATGTCATTTACTTCACTATTTGTCTCACTTCGTAGAATTTTCATTTACTTGTCAAGGAAGTTTCTTTTCTCCTTGTATTATTGTTTTTTTTTCCTTTTAAATATTAGCTTAATTTCATTAATATAAAGAAACTTTTTTACAAAAATAACTTTTTTTTTGTTCATCTTTAATGAACTATTTTTTTAATGAGAATTTTTACTGTATATTATAAATTTAATACGTATTTAAAAATATCACAATTTTATACTCTTTGGATGTCTTAAGACATTTTTATGTTTTAATTTGGTCGACAGAGTGTGTTTTTTTTTTAATATAAGAATATCGTCCATATTTGAAAATGGAAAAGTTTAATGTATGGCAATTTATATTGTCCTATTTTTAAGATAGCAATTGGCTTATTATTTTGTAGATATTGGTTCTTTTTTTTTTCCTCCTTAATTAAATTCGAGCCCACATGCGACAATTTTACATTATTCCCTTTTTACTATTGTATATGGTTGGATAGATATTTCAATATTCTTTTTAGTCTTTTCCCTAAACTTTGAATATTATTTTGATTTTGATACTTTTTGTTTTTATTTTACTTCATGTCCTTAAAACTTTTACAATATTATTTAATAAAATTTGTGTTTTTCTATGTATATAACTAAAAATTGTATCATGCCCCAATTTACTTGGACTTCGCCACACACTTATAGTCGTATTAGGGTTTCTCTCTCCTCCCTCCCAAACATTTTCCGACTCCCTTCACTTTTATTTTTCCAGCTTTTGATCTTTATTCTATTCAAATATCTAATATTTTCTCACAATTTTTTAGTGGGTTTTAAATTTATTTGTAAGAACTAATATAATAAAAATATCATTTTATTCATAAGCATAGAAAATTAAACTAATAGCCACTATCAACTCATGACTTTACGTTTTTATGTCATATTAAAATATTACTATAGGTTGATGCTGAAGTTCAAGGGATTTAAAATATTCCGTTTATTTATGATATTTGCTTTAAATCTCCCAAAGATTTTCGTTTTGCAAATTTAATTTTTGATTTTTTGTGTTTATTAAACATATATTCAAGAGGGCAAATTCGTAAAGTTTTAAAGGAGTTTTAGTGGTAATTAATATATATCTCCAACTAAAAGATTGTAAGTTCGATCCCCCACCTCCACATATTGTACTAAAAAAAATAGTCTACTAGTATACTTTATCCCTTATCGTTGTATATTGTTTGATAGACATTTCAATACTATTTTAGTCTTGCCTAAAACTATGAATATTATTTTGATATTTACATTTTGTGTTTATTTTAATTCACATATTTAAACTTTTAAAGTGTTGTATTTTAATTCTAAAACTTCGCATAAAAACTTTGTCTTTAATAATTTGTAAATTATATTTAACAAAACTCTAGTTTAGAAGGTATCTACAAATAATAAATATTTAAAGTCATATTTGATATCAAATGTGCACGATGTTGGAGGTGAATTATCAACTTACACGTGGCATGTTTTGGTTGGCTGCTCAGCAGTACACGTGTTGCTCCGCGCGAGTATRTTTACCTCGGCCATGAGTCCTCATGCCATGCCGATCAAATATGTTGCTTGGACTTCTTCGGCTCAGCCTATTCTCCGACAAACTTCACGACATCACGCCGCACTTCACGGCAACCTTAAAGAGCCGTTGAGGCCTTGTCGGGAACCTTGTCGGAGACGTCGCCTATAAATATGATCATTCTATTCCATTCCAAGGTACGCAATCAAATCAATTCTCTCTCTCGAGCTGACTTTAGCATCGGAGTATCTACTCTCTTTTGCAGGTCCTCTCTTGGGCATTTGGAGCTCACTGCTTAGCTCGTCCTAGCTGATCCAAAGCTCGGAGACTTTTCTTGATCAAACACACGGACTCAAATGTTTATTAAATGAATAATTAATAATTTGTTAGCAATAATATAAAAGTTTTTTGCATGTGAGGTGTAAAGACTATAATATAACATTTTGAAAGTCGCACTTAAAAATTTAGAGATTAAAAATAGATTTAAAACTTTAAATTATAAAATTTATCTAATTTATTTATAAATAATTAAAAATGGTTAAGGATATAGTGATAAAAGGAGGGACCTACAATAGTTTATAATAAACATTGACTAATCATTTCAGAGATGGAACCCATGAATATTAATATGGTATCAGAGTCCAAAAGCTCAAACGAGCATTCGGTCCAAAATGGGATCCGATCCCTATTAAGRATCTCACATTGAAAAGAGAGGGGACCTAACATAGGTGATATGGTATCAGAGCCCAAAAACGCTCAAACGAGCCACCGGTCCAGAAATGAGATCTTGAGGGACATGTTAAGGATCCCACGTTGAAAAGCCACACACTTCAAAAATCGTATTTGCGTCTCTCTCCTATCTTCCACACATTTTCCACCTTTTTATCTTTATTCTATTCAAATATCCATTATTTTCTCACAATTTTAGTAGGTTTTAAATTTATTTGCACCAAGTGAAAAAAGTTAATATAATAAAAATATCATTTTATTCATAAGCATAGAAAAGTAAACCCATAGCTACTATGAACGGATCACTTCATTTTTTGATGTTATATTAAATTATTACTAAAATTCTAAAAGGAATATATTGAATTTTTTAGTTATGTCTAGCTTTTAGAAGATTGAGTGAGTATTTTTATCTTTTCAAGAGCGGAGTTTCTCGTCAATTGAGGTTATTGAGAAAATTAAATGTTGATGTTGATATTTGTGGCAGCTAATTTGACTTATCTATCTAAACTTTCTTTCTTTCTTCTAAAAGTCGAAGAAAATCAAGGGAGTGAATTTTTATTTATTTATTATTATTATTTTGGAGGGAAGAGTGGGTTTCTCATCAATTGAGGAGAATATTAAAATTTTTCTATCATTTTGGTTTCTAAATTTTCAACCACAAATTTATTTCTTTGTATCTCAAAATCATGTATTTTTCTTTTGAGTTTTCATAAATAGGTTTAAATCTTTGCTCCCCGGCGTCGGCGGAGACTCGAGGCGAGAAGCAACGGCCGAGCATCAGGAAGAACACAATCGTCGTCTTCCTCACCGAAAGGGTTCTGTTACTCTTTCTGATTCTGCCCCGCGCCTTGTCCACGTTGAAATTGACTCGATCATGATCGCCTTTTGCCCTAGCGAATACTTTCACTTTCACTTTCACTTTCTCCCGCCAATTTCTCTCTAAACTCTAAATTCGGATCCAAGCACTCTGTTCTTATCTCTCGTTTGATTCTGGCAATTTCGTCGCCTACCGGAATTGATCGAAATGAAGCAGCTCCATAAAATCGATGAAAGAATAAGGCCATGTGGAGTAACTGTAGATTTTCGATCGGATTTTGGAGGATTCCCGATTTGGATCCAGAAATCTTTGAATTGCAGGTACGAAACTTAATTTCTAGCCCGTCTTTATATATAGGTTAATTTTTGGGAGAATTGTTTGGTTCAATTGCTTGCTCAACACGAAGAGATACGCAATTTTTTTTCAATTTTTTTGTTTCTCTCAATCGGATTTTGATTTTGCAAGCTACTCGGTTTCCCGATTCGATTTCAAGACCCCCAGTCTCCGTCTCTGGAACTTCTAATGAACTTTTTAACTTAAAACGTTTGTTAGATTTTCTAATTAGACGTTAATAAAATATTTGTATAAAATTAATTGTTGTTTTGGTCCGAGGAGAAGGGGCTTTTTTGTCGCCCCCTTCTTTCCGTTTTAATTAATGTACTTTTGTTCAACAGAATATTATATTTTAAATGTGAAAAATGAGAAATTTTCAATTTAGTACCAGGACAACATTATTTACATGTCAATGAAGAAGGCTATAAATGTCAAAATTTTTTAAATGGTAAAAACTTTTCAAGCTAGCCTTTAGTCATTAATTATTTTTGGAGATTTTGGCTCAAACAATCATTTCTCACTAATTATAGCAACTTTGTTTTGGTTTATTGCTCGTCTGTGTTGTTCTTATATTGTTATCATGAATTTAAAACATTTATAAGCAAAATACCCAACAAGCTATTATCTTTTAATGTCAATAAAGTGTTTTTAATATTTATCCATCCAATGAAATTTTCTATATAAAAAATGTTTCCTTTGTCAAATATAGAAAATTATTTAACAAGACGATTAAGAAGGCTATATATGTCACAATTTAAAATAGTAATACACTTTCCAAACAAGTCATTTTTAAGCATATCAATCGAAATTAATTTTTTTGGAGATTAGGCTCAAAATAACTTATAGAATCTTCTTTTTTTTATTATTATTATTATTTTTTTTCGCTAGTTCAATTATAGAATCTTCTTGGAGGCTTGTAAAATCGTTCATTTTGTTAAGTTCACCTATAATTTTTTTGTACTTTTTTTATGGGTTTTTTTTTTTTTTATACCAATTGGTAATAAAAAAAAAATACCAATTGAAATACTTTTCTAACTAAATGAAGAAAATAAATGTAATAAATAATTCACTGAGAAAGTGATGAAACGAATATTATAAGCAATTTAATCTATCCAGTCTTAAGAACTTTTTTTGGTTTTTCTCCTTAAACTTCTAAAGATTTCATTTCAATCTTTAAATTTGGCCTAAAAACTATTCTAATCGGTGTTACTAAATTTCCACAAACTATATATATATTTAACAGAACTTTAACATATCTTTAAAAAAGAAAAAGAAAAAAAAAACAGAACTTTTAACATATTTGTCAATGAATATAGATCAACAACGTTAAAGGAATCTACTTATTTCAATATTTCAACCAAGATGCTCCTCCAAATCCATTATTTCATTATTTACCCTGTTTTATAGCGTTATTCTTAAATTTGAAAACACTGAAATATTATTTTTAAAATTTTAACTATTTGGATCACACGTCATATAATCTAAAAGAACAAATTTGTCTTGAGACAAACAACAACATTACATAAGACACTAAAAAACACACTATAACACATTTGAAAATCGAAAAATTAAACATAATATTAAAACATTTAGAGATTAAAATAGGAATTTAAACAATTTGAAGAATTAAACCCTGAGTTTATAAATAGGAATTTGAACATTTTGAAGAATTAAACCGTGTATTTATATATGGTAAGAGATTAAAAAAATGCTAAAGAAATATATAGAACAAACAAATAAGAAATGAACAAATGGTAAGAAGAATATATTTTACAGAAAAATTCCGATATTGCAATTATTCATTGTGTTTTCGACGCTACACAGTACACAGTAATTTAGGGCTAATTGAATCCGAGATGAAAATCAAAATCTCACACTGATCTCTTCGTACAAGGCCGGCATCGCCATCGTCGATCTCTGCAACAACTACAATAGAGAGGTATAAATATTTACAGGAAAATAAGACGCAACAATCGGAGCTCGCGGCGGCGGATCCGCCACCGGCCGTTGATTATTAATCGGAGGCTCCTAGAAAGAAGAAGAAGAAGATGGAAAGTATTGGTCCAATTTCTTGGTCGAGAAGTATGCCTTCAGATCAGATTCTACTCGACATTTACAGGTTGGTTTCCGTAATTACTCTCTAATCCGTTTCAAAATTAATCGAGCATTTAATGTTTTCCCTCGTCTTTTTTTTTTAAGGTTAAATTTAATTTAAAACTTTTATGCATTTTACAAATTTTGTTTAACAGACTAGGCTGTTCAAAAAACTCTAGGACCCAAAAAAAAAAGGAAAAAAAAAAAAATATATATATATATATATATTAACTTAATCCAAATTTGTTTGGATTGGGTTCAAATAAATGAAAATTCCACCATCAAAATTATATTTTATTTTTATTTTATTTCATTCAATAATTTTTTATGAAATATTTATTATATACCTTTTAAACCAATTTTTTTCTTAAGTTTTTTTTTTCATTATATAAATAAACATCAATCTTCCGGATTTTGATTTAACAAACAATATATAAATAAATATTTAAGAACTATAAAAAAATAATAAATGTTTATAATAAATGTTTAAGATATTAATATTTACTCTTTTTCTTTAGATGAGTGACTCAAATAATCTAAGACCTAAATATTTTTAAGTTGGATTTATTATTTAATGGAAACTCGAAAAATTAGATAAATTACTTCAACTCAACTTGTGAACACTCTTAAACTAACCCTGCCCTACTTGTTTTAAAATGATTTCCTTTTTATTGAGGCTTATAAAAATATATTCATTTACTTAAAAGAAAACACATCTAATAAATGAGTCCGCAGAGGAAAAATAAAATAAAGTGAACGTTAAATTTTTTTTCCCTTTCTAGTCCCGTTTAGTTTTCAAAATTTTAATGTCTAATCTTCATGGTTCCATTTTAAATTGTTCTGTCTGCATGGTTAACCTTTTTTTTTTAACAAATTATTTAATACAATTTTAGTATTTCTCATCAATAAAGTGCCACGTGTATTATCTTAAACAGAAAAATAAACAAAATTATACATTAATGATTAATACAGAGAAATTAAGTGAAAATGCTGCCCTATCAATATTATGACAATAGGCAGAAGAGCAATTTCCATACATTTTCTTACAAAATAACCCTACAAAATTAAGCCTTGTTTACACGGATTGCTTGGCCTTCCAACAACTGCAAAAGAAAAGGAAAAGCATGTCAGACACTAACCTTTTCTGTATGAGAGTTTTCTGGTTAATATTGCATCGTCCAACCGTTGAGTAATATCGATAACTAACGAAAGATGTTTGAGTTTGCCATGTCTATTCTTCAACTAGTTTCAGAAACTTTTATGAGAAGTTAGTGATTCTGGATGATACTACCAGATAAATGCTCTACTGATCAATGTCTACCAAACAGGAATAAAAATGTCGCCGATGCACAAGTCCCGAACCAAGAGACGTTATCGGTATTGGTATAACAGCATCTGGTATAATATAGAATGGGAGCAAGTTACTTACAGCGTTGTTAAAAGATGAAATGGCGGTTTCAACTTCCTCCTCTGAAGAGAAGGTAACAAAACCATAGCCACTTGATTTTGAGGTACCAGGAACCCGAGAGACCTTTGCACTGAGAACATTACCCTTCTCGGAGAACAATTTTTTTAGTGTTTCGGTAGAAACGGTGCTCGAAATATTTCCTACGTAGACTTTGTAGGGACTGTCGATGAACTGGGATTCCTCTGCCTGAAGAAGTGACAGATCAACTGAAGTAGTAGTAACCAAAGGTTTTTCTGTTATGTTGACTTTAATCGTACGCCCTTCAACTTCCTGTCGATAGAACAATACCGTCAGCACAACTGATATAGTGAGACAATATGAGAGAATTTCACTTTGTAGGTATTAACTTACTGTCTCATTCAATTTCTCAATTACTGCATTTGCATCGTCGACTGTTTTCATGGTAACAAAGGCGAATCTGCGGCTCCTTCCAGAGTATTTGTCATACATAACCTGGAAATGGAAGAAAATTGGAGTCTTAAAGCCAACATCAACAGCCACCAAGTAAAGACTAAGGACAAGTGGATCGTGATGCTAAAATTCAAGGAAAGTTGCTAGCTACTCGATTTAACAGACAGTTCGGTTTAAGGCCGTGCGGGGTGAGTTCGATACATGACCGAAGTCAACCAAATGCTACAGCATCTACGGCATTTAATTTTCTGGTGCCAAAAGTAGTTTACACTTGGATTTGTCACCAAGAAGATTCTAGCTAAAGATCAGCTACAGCTACAACGAGCAGCTGAAAAGCCATATCTGCTTATCTAAGACATTCTCATGCAAACATAACGACCCTGATCGAACCCGAAAAGCAGCAAGAATTGAATTATAACCTACAGAAGTTCTACGAGCCAATGACAGGCTTTTCAGAGGATTTGATTCTGTTTCTCCTAACATCTTCCTGACTTCCTCTACACTCTCTGAGTCTCTGTCCCCTTAATACATGGCTACTTACTGTTGACTAACAGAATGTAACTGTCCTTTCACCTCCTATGAACTCATCCCTCTCCTTAAAGACCTAAAACTTACCTGTGTCCCGGAAATAAGATCCCAATTCCTGAGCAACAATGGATAAAACTTATGTGATTGGCTCCACAGCCACAGGCATGTTCTAATGAGAATGACATAAGATATTCGAGTTGGAATGGATACTTTGGAAACCATATATAAGCAATAAACAAGGACTGCCGTGTGTTTAGCTATTATTGAACTACTTCTTATCATGTTCTAGTTTGATGGAGGTGAAAATTGATTCGGTTTGATTCATAGACGACAATCGAACCAAATCCAACCTCGAAAACTAAACAATCTGCTTCAAAGCTTGTGCAAAACAAAAGTAAAGAAAGGGTTCAAAATTCTTTCTAGAAGATAACAATCTGCAGACTCCATTTGGAAGATAATGGTCAACAAATTTAGCCCAAAAACCCGCATACACTCAGCAGTTTGATGAATTTATGAACAAGTGAACTCGATCAATGCGAAGATTCAAGACAAATAAGCAGATAAGGCGCGCAAGAGAGTCCAGCCAGATTGCCCCCGAAATCAAAAATTCGAAGCTGGGTATCGAACAAAATTCAAAATCCCCAAAAGAAGACGACGAAAAATCAGAACAATTCCATTTTAGGCAGATAATTACGCACCTCGGCCTTCTCCACAGCCCCGTGTTCTTCGACAATCCGAGTGAGCTGCTCGTTATCCACATTTCTGGGTATGTTGCCAATGTAGAGTCTCCTGGCGGCCGCCGAAGAGGGATCCTGAGCGGTGACCGCCGCTTCGGCGACGGCGAAGAGTCTGATGGTGTGTTTGGCGGCGGATGTTTGAAGCACCGACGAAAGTCGAAGGAGGGGAGGACGGCGGTGGAACGAGATCGGTCGGAGAAATTGATTGGATAATTTATGTGGGGTTTCGGTGGGTTTTGTGGAGCTGTGGATGAGATTCGGCGGCGATAATATGGATGAGAGGGAAGCCATTGTTGTGGATTTTGGAGTGTGAAGCTTTGGGGTGCGAACGAGAGAAATAGAATTACAGAACCCTGAGGCGAGGCCAGAGGTTTATCCAGTCGATAGAGAGAGAGATTGAGCTTACTCGTGTTGCTCGCACGTGGCATTTCTATTTTCTATTTTTTTTTTCTTTTTCTTCTTTACATATGTTAAAATTTGTTTTAAAAATAAATTTTGGTTTAAATACTATTTTGTCCTTGCCATCTCAACTTTTTCTTTATTTTGGTTGATGTATCTATTAATTTTATGAATTTCCAAAATATCTATTTTGGACCTTATGCTTTTAAAAAGTGATATTTTTTATTTATATTTGTAAAATTTCAATATAAATTTTTACACAATATTAACTATTTAATACAAACTTTATGGTTGCATTTCAATAATTTTGTAAATGAAATGTCAGGTTATAATTATGATTGAAATAAATTAAATAAATAGGAAAATAAATATACCAAAATAGTCACTTTTCAAAAGTATATGAATCATAACAAATATTATGTAAGTACAGGGACCAAATTGATATTTATTAAAATAAATAAAAGTTGAAATTAGATTGATCAAAGTAGTATTTAACATTAATTTCTTTTTTAATTCACAAGAGATAAAATACTCAAACATCGCTAAAACTAACATAGTTTAGTGGTAATTGACATATATGTTCAATCAAGAGGTTGCGAATTTAATTCCCAATACTTTTTAAATTTAAAACCATGTTTAACCAATTTATAAACTTTAAATTTTATGTTTAATAAACACGAAATTGAAAATTCATGAAAAATACTTTTTTAAATTTCACAATTTTATTATACGTGATGTTCCAAGTTCACATACTAAAGTTAAATACTTATATACAATATCTATTCCAATAATAATTTTCTCCCATTAAAACTGTCCCAAATCCCTAAATTTAGGAAAGGATACTAAAAAAATGATATTATAGACAAAATGTTAAAACAGCATAGATATTAGTTCAACTTTAGGCTACATTTTTTCCACTGTTATTTTCAATAAATATATAAACTATATATCATTACTAAGATTTTTATCAAAACTTAAAAAGTTTAAACGTTGCATAACTGGTCTACAATTCCAAAATTAATTCTAGAATTGAAATAAATCAAACGGCAGTGTCTAAAATCTCATTGCTTTCTCAAAACAAATCATTACATAATTGCACGATCAAAATGGAAACATTTCAAGATTTTTTCTTGAAATTAAAACAAAACCATTAAGGCTCGAATTAAAAACATATTATTACCATATATCATAGTTTCCCGGATTTTCCTCTCTGTCATCCCCTGTTTCTCTCTCTCCCTTCTCCATCAGTTACCATTTCCAAAATCTTCCATATCCATCTCTCCCCCAAGCTTCAAACGCCTCCCATGTCTCCAAGTTTTCAAACCCACAACTCTCTGAAAATCTCCTCTTCTATATCTGGTAAAGTTTTCTGCTTTTTAATGCTCTGTTTTTTACAGTTTCTGTCTCTGTTTCTGCAAAATCTGAGTTTCTTCTTGTTTTGCAGGCCATTGGGATTTTTCTCCAAATTTCTGAAGCTTCGAATCAATGGGGAAGAAGAATCAGGCAGCCCCACATAAGCCTCAGGAAGATTTCTCTCTGAAAGAGACCTCCCCGAACATCAATGGCGGAAGATCCTCAATCGGCGTCAACACTTCCTTCGATCTCGTCGAACAGATGCTGTTCCTCTACGTGAAAGTCGAAAGAGCCAGAAATTTGCCGGAGCCCTGTGACCCATATGTTGAAATCAAGCTCGGAAACTACAGAGGAACCACCAAATTCTTCGAGAAAACGGCAAATCCAGAATGGGGTACTGTCTTCGCCTTTGCAGAGGATCGAATTCAGACCGCCGATGTCGAAATTTCTCTGTTCAACAAGGCGGCGGGGGACGCCGTAATTGGCTCTGTTGTTTTGAGCATCGGCGACGCTCCGATGAGGGTGCCGCCGGACAGTCAGCTGGCTTCCCAATGGTATAAACTCGAAAACCGACACGGCGGGGGCGGCCAAGTCAGGGGAGAGCTGATGCTCTCTGTTTGGATGGGGACTCAGGCTGACAGCCATTACTCGAATGCGTGGCATTCCGACGCAGCGTCGGTCGCCGGAGACGGGCTCGTCAACATTCAGTCTAAAGTTTACCAGTCGCCGAAGCTATGGTACCTCAGAGTGAATGTAATTGAAGCTCAAGATTTAGAGCTAAGGGACAAGAACAGAAAGCCGGAGGTGTTGATCGAAGTGAAGCTTGGGATTTTACAAATGACGAGCCGAGTTTCGGAGACTAAGAACTCGAACCCGTCGTGGAATGAAGATATGATGCTTGTTGCAGCAGAGCCATTTGAGAAGAATTTGGAGCTTCGTGTGGTTGATAGAATTAGTCCAAATGAGTTTGATGTTTTGGGAGTCTGTCAAATCCCTTTAGAGAACATTGATGTGAGGCTGGATGGTTCACCGGCGGTGAACAAATGGTACGATCTCAAGAGGCCCGGCGGGGGCGGCGCCGAGGGCGAAACGAAAGAGGTGAAGTTTGCAAGCAAGTTGCATATGAGGGTGTCTTTAGATGGAGGGTACCATGTTCTTCATGAGCCAATTCACTATGCAAGTGATCTAAAGGCAACTTCTAAGTTGTTGTGGACGCCAAGCATTGGTGTTTTGGAGCTTGGGATATTGAGTGCTAATGGATTGTTGCCAATGAAGACAAGAGAGAATCGAACTGATGCTTATTGTGTTGCAAAATATGGCCCAAAATGGGTGAGAACTAGGACGGTTACTAATAGCGGTGCTCCTAAATGGAATGAGCAATACATTTTTGAGGTTTATGATCCTTGTACTGTTCTCACCATTGGAGTGTTTGATAATGGTTGTCTCCAAGGAGGGGATAAAGGGGTTGATACTCGAATCGGGAAGGTTCGAATTCGATTGTCGACGCTTGAAACCGATCGGATTTACACACATTCTTACCCTCTTGTGGCGTTGCAGCCTTCTGGTGTGAAGAAAATGGGTGAGATTCAGTTGGCTGTGAGATTTTCTTGCTCGTCTTTGATCAACATGATGCATACTTATGCACAGCCTCTCTTGCCTGAAATGCATTATACTCTCCCATTGTCCATTTATCAAATCGATCACTTGAGATACCAATGTTTAAACATTCTTTCGGATCGGCTCGGACGTGCTGAGCCAATGCTAAGAAGGGAGGTCATCTACTACATGCTCGATGCAGATTCACACATATGGAGCATACGAAAATCGAGAGCCAACTTCGACAGGATCACTGCACTTTTCGACAGTTTGATCAAGTTCTGCAAGTGGTTTCATCATGTACGAAGTTGGACAAATTCTTATATAACGGTTGTAGTTCATGTCATGTTCCTCCTCATTGTTTTCTTTCCCGAACTAATCTTCCCCACCATGTTCTTCTACTGCCTCGTGGTGGGTATCTTGCGGTATCGTGGTCGGCCGAGGCATCCTCCGCACATGGATGCCGAGCTCTCCCGCGCCCACACAGTGACACCCGACGATCTAGAAGAGGAATTCGACTCATTCCCAAGTAAGGTGACGGGGGGAACGTTGAGGAGACGATACGACCGACTTCGACACATCGCCGGGAAGATGCAAGTGGTGATGGGGGACTTTGCAACACAAGGGGAGAGGGTGGAAGGGCTTCTAAGCTGGAGGGATCCAAGGGCTACAACTCTTTTTATGATGTTTTGCCTCGTTGGAGGTGTGGTAATGTTTGTTGTTCCTCTGAATATTATTGTGCTTTCTTTGGGGTTCTATGCCATGAGGCACCCAAGATTTAGGATAAATTTGCCTTCTTTACCTCAAAATTTTATTAGGAGAATGTCTGCTAGAACAGACACTTTGCTTTGACAATAATGTTGTTTTAATTTAGAGATGGCTTTTGCATTTTTGTTTTTCACTTCATAGTGTTATTCCTAATTTAAATAGTTATTTGTTTTGTTTAGACTTCTTGCAAGAACGAGTTTGTTGAGTTGTTTTGAATATGAATATGTGTTTTCATTAGTTTGGTTTTCACAGTAACTTATTTTTAAACAATCATATTTATTAGAATTACGATCTCGAAAACAATATTTTATTGAAAACAAAAGCACCCTTTAAATACTATATTACCAAATATATTGGCCAAACAATCTTTTTAATCTCCAACATTTGATCTAACCACAATTTCTTAAAATAATTGAAGCTTATGGATGCAAAAACACTATTTAAACGAACAGGCAAATTTGAAAACAAAATAAAAACAATTAAATGATCTAAAGCAATGGAGATTTGAAAATTTAAAGATATTTTTAAATTTGTAACTTTATTTGAAAAAGAAAACTTTGAAGTGAATGTTATATTTTTTATACTAGTCCCACTAATTTGATGGGAAATGGAAATTTGGAGGGTAAGTGGAAATTAACGATAACAAAAAAAATAAAAAGTTTAAATATTTTATCTTGTAAATTTGCGCCCAATTTAATTAATTATGAAAAATATCATTAAAATAATGTAATAAATGCCATAAGATGATCACTCACTTTAAATTGAGTATATGTTACAATTTAGTCCTTGGGTTTTCGAAATAGTGTAAAAAAAGGTGCTTCACTCAAACATGTTCTAAGAAAGTCGAAGCATTTCGAATTGTTTGTTGACGCGGACAAAGTCAAAGGAATATTAAACCATAACATATAATAATTCCAAATTGAATCTCTTTAGAAAACAAATATATTATCTATCTCATAGTAACCTTCTCTAGTTTTCTTACGAAAATTTTCATCATTGGATTTAATGCTGAAATCTAAAAGGTAAATACATTAGTGAAATATTGATTCTAAAATTACTCAGAATCTCTCTTTTTATTATCATTTTTCTCTTCGAAATAAATAATTAAATACCGTATATTATAATTTAAATCAAAATATAGAAAAAATAAATCCTAAAGAAAAAAAAGCCCACCTCAATTGGGCTTGGACCCAAGCCCAAACTATTTCGACTTTTTTTAATTAGGGTTTTCTCTACAAAATTTACCCAAAATATATAGAGCCATTATATCTTCATTAGGGTTTCTGGCTGTAGTCTTCTTTCTCCCTGCGAACAAGAGCTCCAGGTTTTCGCAGGGATACTCTAATGGCGCCGAAAGCCCCTAGGGTTAGCAGAAACCCGGATCTAATCCGAGGTGTCGGCAAGTACTCGAGGTCCAAGATGTATCACAAGCGAGGTCTTTGGGCAATTAAGGCCAAGAATGGCGGAGCGTTACCTCGTCACGATGCGAAGCCGCAAGCTGAAGCTCCCGCCGTTAAGCCGCCCAAGTTTTACCCTGCCGATGATGTGAAGAAGCCCCTCGTTAACAAGCGCAAAGCCAGGCTCACGAAGCTGAGGTATGGTAACCCCATTCGTTTGTTTAGTAGTAGTATTGTTGCTCTGTTTGATTTTTGTGCGTTAAGGTTTTGATTTGGGTCTGAGTAGTGAACCCTGAGGATTATGAAATTCTTTTTTGGGATCCTCATTGTCATAACTCTGCCTCTGTCATTGGTCTGTCTCTCACTTGTAGATTTATATTGTTTCGGGAGCTATTTTTTATCTTGTTCTGTTTCCAATTTTAGAGCCAGCATTACTCCTGGTACTGTGTTGATTATCCTTGCTGGGAGATTCAAGGGGAAGAGAGTTGTCTTTTTGAAACAGCTTCCATCTGGGTTGCTTCTCGTCACTGGTGAGTTCTCTTGTTTCTTGTTTTGTGAATTTGATTTCTATCTTATTTGATTCTGATCAGGGTTGTGTTGTAATGTTCTGCCATTGTGGTCTCATTTTATCTCTGTTGCCAAGCGCTACAATTGATATGGCTTTTGGAACTTGTGTGTGGATTTTATAACGTATTTGTGTGATTCAGATTGGTTTGTTCATTGATTGAAATGAAAATATTTGATTCTTGAACCAGCTTGTGAATTTATCTGCTGAGGTAGTCAATTAATTCTTCCTATTGCTTGTGATTGCCAAATGCATCCAATTAAAGTTGTAGCCTTATCCCGTTTCTGTTAGCCAGGATCATTGATGTGCTTTTAAAACAGTACGATAACACATTTTTTATGGCTATAGGTCCTTTCAAGATCAACGGCGTCCCTCTAAGACGGGTGAATCAATCTTACGTGATTGCAACCTCCACCAAAGTTGACGTCTCCGGAGTTAATGCAGATAAATTTGATGACAAGTACTTCTCCAAGGAAGTCCAGAAGAAGAAGAAGAAGGGTGAAGGCGAATTTTTCGAGGCAGAGAAAGAGGTATGTCGAGAAAGTTAACTAGTCTTACCCATTGTTTTAGTTGTCCTAATTCTCTTTATTCCATCTTGTAGGAGAAAAGTGTGCTCCCAGCTGAGAAGAAGGACGACCAAAAAGCCGTGGATACACCGTTGTTAAAGTCGATCGAGGGGGTCCCGGAGTTGAAGGCTTACTTGGCAGCAAGATTTTCTCTTAAGGCAGGAATGAAACCTCATGAGCTTGTCTTTTAGATAAGGATTTGGTTTCTTTTTTGACTGTCACCATGTTTTTTGTTTATTTGAACTTGGTTTTGACTTATGATAGTTGGCTTGTTCCAAATTTTGATTCTAAATAGATTCCATTTTCATAATTTCTTCTCTTTTCGAATACTGGTATTGCTTTATTTTTAATCTTTGGTTCTGTAATATTCCATTGCAGATATTTCAAGTTTTAGTCAATATATATACATTGAGTGAAATATGTCAGTAAGAGGAATATTTTTTAGTTGGTAATGAAGATAAATGCTAACTAGTGAAATACACACATATCTATCGTTTTGAGGTTATGGTATGGAAAATATGTAGAAATATATTTGTAAAAATGAAATGGTCATATGGCATGTTTATGAAATAACATTAGTTTCAAACACAGTGATGAGAATAGATTAAAAGGAAAATAAGTTGAAATTATGATTTGGTACAACATGTCAGAGTCGGGATTCGAATACACAAATACACAAGTAGAGATATATGTCATAATGAGGTGAATTAGGTTGGTCCAATTCTTAGATTTGTTTAAATCTCACAAATAACTATATTGAGACTAGACATGAACCCACCGAGACCAATTTTAAAAACACACGAACCAACATACAAACTCGCACATATATGGTATATATACCTAAAAACATGTTACATTTTGTATTTAATTCTTATAATCTTAAAAGTTTTAGTTTGGTCCATATATTTTTACAAGTTTTAACTCCATCTCAATGGTTTAATCATGCCACATCCCTATTAAATATGTGACCCTTTTTTTAATTTATTGACAAAAATCTGATATTTTCTATGTGGTTGACTATAATAATTACTTGTGTAATTTAGAGTCAGAGTTAAGAAAAAGGGAGTAAAAAGTAGTTTTATGTAATCGATAGGGTTTAACCAAATCACAAGAACAGTAATGAAACTTCTAAAATTACATTGACTCATTGAAACTAAACTTACGGGCAACTTGAAATTATATGGAGTGTAAGGCAAAATTTTGGAGAGATATCTTAATCTAATATATCTTCAAATTTTATTTTTGTGGCTTACTTTTTCAACCATATCATTATCTACTATTTTTATTTATTTATTATTTGTATACCAATTGTTTCTTTTATTATTTGCACTTCCATAACAAATTTAGCAAAGGGAATTTGAAGGTTTGCAGAAGAGAAGGTTAAAAGAAGCAAATTTGAAAATACTTGGGCAAATTGAAAGACAAGTTACGATACTCTTTGGTATTTTTCAAAGAGATTTTAATTTATTTTGGGTTTGTTTTTTCCAATAGAATTTAAAAAATAACGTACCTGCAGCTGCATCAACATAAATATTAAATTAAATAAACGAAAGATGAATAAATATTATTAAAAATATTAGAATAATCAATTATTGTTTTTAAAAGACAATAAAAATAAATTTTATTATCTATATGTACTAAAATAAATAGATAATAATGGTAGCATTTTAAAACTGACTACTTAATCAATCGTCTCACTTACCTATATATATATTTTTGAACCGTAAAAAGACAATCTTATTATGATTAAACACTACAATGGGTAAAAAATGGTACAATCACTCTCTAATCTACCGAGCTAGTGAGGAAAATCCCTCTCTTAAATTGACCCGACACATTATTGAGATGAAATTGAAATTTTTTTAATTGACCCAAATTTCACTAGCCAACTCGGTTAAGGTACTTATCACGAGTTCAAATCTCCACCGGGTGTAAAAAAAAACTAATTTAACCTAAAGAAATAGAAAGGGGAAATTTTGGAATAATTGGGCTCCTTGGGACACGCTCGCTCGCTGTTGCAAGAGGTTCCTCCGGAAAGCTTGGGCCTTTTCTTCCATTGATGCCGAAACCACAAAAAGCCGAGCGATTCTGAATTCTCCTCCTCTCAAATTTTCTCCTTCTTCCTACTAGAACCTTCCAGTTCCGCCTTTCCCAATTAGGGTTTTTACAGGGTTTATCATATCGTCGTCAATTTGGTATCCTCCAATTACCAACCCTAATTTACTGTTCGACCCACATCACATACAGAGCTTCAGATACAGTGTGACTGTCTGCGTCACGTAGCTCCAAATGGTTCGCTCCGATGGCGTCAGGCTCATCCGTTCGTTGGCTCGTCGTTCTTTCACATCCTACCTCCTGTCTGAATCCGGGAGCTCCGTACGTGTATTTCTTGTGGTTTTATAATCTCCTGATCGAATGCTTCGTTTTTCATGAATTTCTGTGGTTTATTTTGGGATTGATTCATTGCAGGTACAGGACGCGATTTTTCGAGGGAGTTGTAGGCGATTCAATTCAGGGGTTTGCTACACGTCTTTTATTTTGGGAAATTGCGGTTCGAAGAATGGTATATATCTGTAACCTTCTTTTATTTATCCAGGTTCTGATTTATTGTCTTTCCCTCTACATGTTGCGTTGAGTTTAAAGCATAAAAGAGATTGCAATATTTGGGCTTTTATTGAAAACTCGTCATCTCTTGTTGTTTGTACTTATTTTTATAAAGCGAAATAGGTGTAATTGATTTTTACCTACTTTATCTGTGTTTTGTGGTGCAGTGAATAAAAAGAACTGGTTTCAGTTAGGAGTTCTAGGTGCCAACTGTGGAGAGGCAAAATTAATTCATGGCACTGGTATGAGATCGTATACCATTCTTCTTATTCCTTTTTATTTTTTATTTTTTTTAAACTCCTATTATTTGCTATCAATTTTACTATTCATACGTATCAGGAATACTTAAAAGTTTTTATCATTATTTGTTTTCTTAATCAGCACATATGGCCGCGAGAGATTTTTATGACACACTTGGTGTGAACAGAAACGCAACTGCATCTGAAATAAAGAAAGCATATTACGGGGTGAGTTTCTGGAGTAAGTCTCTTTCTAGAAGAAGTTAAAAGTTTACTATTTAGCTTGACCCCATGTTTCTCTGTAAGTCATATTTCTATTCTATCAATATCTTTAATGAGAAAACTGGATTTCTTCGAGTGAAATTATTGATAAGGACCGAGCAGTTTCATTACAGTGAAGAACTGAACTTTCTTTTTTGGCAGCTCGCAAAAAAGCTTCATCCAGATACAAACAAGGATGACCCTGATGCTGAAAAGAAGTTTCAAGAAGTTAGCAAGGCTTATGAGGTAATCACCATATATCTATGGTTTTTGCAGAGATAAGTCATAAGAGATAAGCATATATATACCTTTTTTTTTCTTTTCATTTTTTAACTTTCTACAATTCAAGTCTTCAAAAATTTCTGTTATTTTGGTGTTAGGTTCTAAAAGATGAGGATAAACGCCGACAATATGATGAGGTATGATTCCAAATTCCGCATAAACGTTTAGATGATGTGATGCTCTAAAAATTATCAGTTTAGTGCGCAAAGGAGGAAGATGTATCTCCTCAGCATTCCTGGTGGAGATAGAACTCTTCATTTGTTCTACTCACGAATAACTTTTCCTATGTACTTTCTATTATATGAAGCAAATCAATTAGTATTGTACTCACATCTCATTGAGATTTCTACCTTTCTTTTAAGGCTTATAAACCACATTGTGGTTGTTCATTTAAAATTTTAGTTCTTACTGGGTTCAGCTTATTAGCAAGCAAGTCAGTTTGTGGGAGAATTGGCTAGAGTGAAGTAATGGAATTTTCGAAGGGGAGGATAGATAACTCAAGTATTTGTGACTGATTATAGTCTTTGTTTTTTCTTCGTGAAGTTCTTCACCAGATTATTTTGTATCTGTGATCAACCATCAGTGGCCAACTGGAGATTTTCTCCCAAAAAAGAGGAGTTATTTTTGTAAATCCTTTTGTTTTGGTTTGTTTGTTTGTTGTTTGTTTTGCTATCTTTCATTTACTCTGAAAAGATGACTAGTTTCTTAAAAAGAAATCATTCAAGACTTAATATGAACTTATTTTGTTTCCATTACAATGTTGTAGGTTGGGCATGAAGCATTTTCCCAACAAGATCAGAATGGCTTCCCTGGTGAAGGTTTTGACCCATTTAGTGGAATATTTAGGGGATTTGATGTAAGCCAGTCTTCTATTGAGTTTCTTTTGCCATGATTTTTTTTCTTGAAAGCTTACATAGTCTTTTTCATGTGCTTACCTCTGCATGTGGAGATCAGTTCACTAATATATTTCGCCAGAACTTCGGTGGAGAAGATATCAAGGTGCTAACCCTATCTGGTTATAAGCTTTAGGCTTCATTCCTAGGCAGCACACATATTATTGTTGGTTTGTGTTGGTAGGTTGCTTTGGATATATCCTTTATGGAAGCTGTTCAGGGATGCTCAAAAACTGTGTCATTTAATGCCGCTGTTCCATGTGATACTTGTGGTAGGCCAAATCTATTCAATTATTAAACTTTGTCTTCTATTCGCCTTCCTTCTAGTTCTTACTTCTTCGATAGGATAATTGACTTGAGTTTGCAGGTGGAAGTGGTGTTCCACCAGGAACAAGACCTGAAACATGTAGACGCTGTAAGGGCTCAGGCATGGTTAGTTTTATCTATTATTCTACATCCATTAGTCCTTTTCCCTATGAATGTTTTGCAAGTTCTAAGCCATTTTTGTTGGTCGTGTTTAAACACCAGACGTACATGCAAACTGGTCCATTTAGAATGCAAGCTACATGTCAGCAATGTGGTGGAAGTGGGAAAATTGTATCGGTATGTTCCACCTTTTTTTTAGAATGTGTCTTTTTAATCTATCCATCATGAAAGTTTGCTTTCTCATTAAAAAAAAATTATTTCAGAACTTCTGCAAGTCCTGTAAAGGAGAACGAGTTGTGAGAAGATTGAAATCTGTTAAGGTGGACATAATGCCAGGCAAGTCTTTCTTGTTTCCATACAATGTCTTATCCTTTAGATGTTACTTAGAAAGTGAAAACTATTGCACCTTTTCTACACTCGTGGGACAATGCTGGATTGGAGTTCTTGATGGCTTATACAGGGGTAGATGATAATGAAACTATGAAGGTGTTTAGGAGTGGAGGTGCAGATCCTGATGGAAGCCAACCTGGTGATCTATATATTACTATTAAGGTGACTTTGATTTTTCATTCATTTGTTTCCTCTTCCAAGTCTATATTGTTCGGCCCATTTCTCCCTTGGCTGATGCGACAACTGTTCTGTTTGTTGAAAAACAGGTTCGCGAAGACCCAGTTTTCAGACGAGAGGGCTCTGATATTCATGTGGATGCTATTTTAAGTATCACTCAGGTAGTAATTGCTATTTAATTAATTGCTGAGTATAAGGAAGTGACAAAATTTATCAAGTTACTCTGCGTGGTGTGGTTCTATCCTTTTTATCCCAACCTATAGGAAATTGGTGACTGCAGTATTGATTAGCTTTGTTTTCCTTCCGTATATGTCCCCTAAACTACTTTGTAATAGTCTAAAACAAGATTGAGCTATCAATTGAAAAGGTACTAACGCTTTTGAAATTTCCTACAGAAGCTAGTTTGGGATTTGGCACGACAAAATCATTTAGATTTTCAGGATACATTTGAACATAAAGCTTGTAGTTCTCATTTGATGGCATTGTGACATGGTTGTTAATTACAAATTTTCACTTGAACTTAATTCATTGTCTTGGTGCAGGCTGTATTAGGAGGCACTATCCAGGTTCCAACTCTAACGGGCGATGTTGTCCTTAAGGTTTGACAATATGTTAATATTGCTAGTCATGCCTTTATTCTGCACTCAATGCCATTACTGACTATATTGACTCTTAATTATTAGGTCCGTCCTGGCACTCAACCTGGACAAAAGGTTGTTCTGAAGAAGAAAGGTAATACAATGAACTTGTGCTCGCCAATATCATTTGTTAGGCTTCTTGATAAATTCGGGTTGTAGATTCCTATAACCCGAACAGTCCTTGTTAAGTTATGAACCCAAAATCGAAAAGAACCCTTAAAAATTGAGTTATGTTTGTCCGGTTCCATCAAGTTTCAATCAAAATTCAAACTTCGATCGTTGTTAGGTAGAGACATGGGCCTCTAACTAAGGGTATTTAAAGATTGACTTGTATTATATTAAAAATTCAAATGTGTACTCTAATTCCTTCACCGAAATCCTTTGTGAAAGTTTGTAATTATTAATTACTCAACTCATTGATTTCAAATTATTTAACTGTTCGACCTCATTCGTAAAATTTCAGTTCATCTCATCGTTACACGAGTCCCATATCTTCCCTTACATATTTAGCTGATGCCATTGTTGTTGATGGTTGTCCACAAAAAATAGTTTACTTATAACTAACCCGTGCTACATGATGTCATCTTGCAGGGATAAAAACGAGGAACTCTTACTCATTCGGGGACCAATATGTGCACTTCAATGTCAGCATACCAACGTGAGTTTACCTGTTCTCTCCCGTCCCCGCATCTCAGTCAATATTGTCTTAATATCTAGCACTCAAGCAGGATTTCTGTCCGTCTCTTTTGATCTTTGATAGAAGAAATACTAACTTATGCATTTATAGGACTGCACATTTGATCTTTAATTGTATTAAATGCACTGTATTTTCGTCCATAGGAGTCTTACTCCAAGGCAGCGTGAGTTGATCGAGGAATTCTCGAAGGAAGAGCAAGGAGAAGACGATAAACGCACGGCTGCTGGAGCGTCCGGGTAGATACAACATTCTAAGAGCTATTGTTTAAACCCCCATCCCATTTTGTTGTAGCCAAGTCTCCAGTTTTAGAAAGGAAGGAAAATGGTATGGTTCTACTATCCAATTAGGACCCAACCAATACAAAAGTTTTGTAGGAGTATTGTTGGTTATATTTATGCGAGAGTCGAGTCGAACGCCATATGTAGACATACTGTAGTTTCCATTGTATAGACTTGTTTTGTTTATTTTATCATAATGGGCATGGAATCAATGTCCACGAGATGGTATTCTTTCTGCTCGATTGATTTCTTGAGATGGGTTTTGGAATCTGAGTGATGTCCCTTTAGAGACAGAAGCTAGTTCAATAATTTTATTCATGTTTTTTTCCTTCAAACTCCATGGAGGGAAAGGAAAGTAAACTAGCCAAAATTGAGAGGAAATATGAGTTTCAAATGTGCCCAAAATATATGCTTATTATTCGTTAGCAATATTTTTGGCTTTTTTTAATAGCTACATTTACCTTGACGTATTCCTAATTTTGTTTGAGTAAGGTTAGTATAGCAATATAATGAAAATTTTGATTATAATATTATATTTTTTTCAGATATGTATTTAAATTTATGAGTTGTAATGGAAAGGTGCAAATGTTTGGTTATATAAAATTATGCTAATTTGGTTGTAATATTACTAACATATTAAATATATGTTAAAATTTTGTTAGTTTTATGGTTTGATTTTAGCTTTCATAGTTTTAAAAGTTTTAATTTGATTGTTGCATGGTTCTAGCAAACTTCAGAAATCGTACTTATTGTTCTAGCATACTTATTTAGATGGCAATTGCAGTTACGTAATTTGGCTAAACTTTATTAGATTATGCCTTTTCACCTTACTACTACCTATTCGTCCTCTAATTTTAATGAAAAAAGGGTTTTAGCCCTAAACCCTAAGTAAAACCTATTAGAGATAAGAATTCAATATTTATTTAATTGGATAAAAAGAAAAGAGACTATTGGTACTACTTGGACTGAGAAACTAGCAATTGCAAGTAACACAAACCAGACCAAGAACAAAAGGAGATGTGTAAAATTTATGGGTAAGTAAAACATTATAGAGACCAAATTCAAACTAGGTATTAATTAAAATAGATTTCATAATTAACTTTTTTTGTTTCCTTTTTGGTAATTTAGCCTTAAATGTGTCGTCCATGAAACAATTCGGAAAACTCGTTAAAATATTAATCTGCAAAACAGGGAAATTTTTTATTAAAAAAAAAAAGGGAAAAACAAGGAATTGGGAATCGGATAAAAACTTAAGCGCGGTCAATTCCCACCAAATCAATAAAATAGTTGTGAAAAAGGCGGGAATGTGTTCATTACACGTGGCATACTTCTATTGCGTGTTCAGTTTTGCCACGGATCGTAATCCTTAAACCGACACAATCTGTCCAATCTGACCGTCCGAAACTTTCACAATCCAACGGCCGTCCTCCGCGCTTCCGAAACCCAAAATTTAAAAATCTCCCGCTTTTTGCCCTTATATGTACACCCCAAAATCTTCGCTTATTGCAAAAGTCAATTCACTCTGCGAAAAAAGGTTCGAATTTCTTCAAACCCATCTGCCCGAATGGCTCGCACCAAGCAAACCGCCAGAAAATCCACCGGAGGCAAGGCCCCAAGAAAACAATTGGCCACCAAAGCCGCCAGGAAGTCCGCTCCGGCCACCGGAGGAGTGAAGAAGCCCCACCGTTTCCGCCCCGGAACCGTCGCCCTTCGTGAGATCCGAAAGTACCAGAAGAGCACAGAGCTGCTGATCCGAAAGCTTCCATTCCAGCGATTGGTTCGTGAGATCGCTCAGGATTTCAAGACCGATCTGAGGTTCCAGAGCAGCGCCGTCTCGGCGCTTCAGGAGGCGGCGGAGGCGTACTTGGTCGGCCTCTTCGAAGACACCAATCTGTGTGCGATTCACGCGAAGAGGGTCACAATTATGCCCAAGGATATTCAATTGGCCAGAAGAATTAGAGGGGAAAGGGCTTAGAAGTTGTGGATTGATTTATTTTGATGGTTCTGATCAGATCCTTTTGAGGTTGGGGTGTTTGGATTGTTGCTGGTCGGATGTATATGGGAAAATCTTGATCCTGTTTAGTTGAATGAATCGCCATTTTCGCTTCACATCTTCTATTGATTTTTTTATATTATTACTTTGTTTTTGTTCTTTTTGAGATCTATCGAAAGTTCAACATTTTGCTGATTTACTTGTTAAATAGTGATGAGAAAAGGATTTTGATTGAATAGACTATGATTGTAGCTAAAATTGATTGAGAAGAGATAATGAAGAAGGGTAGGAATAGGACACAGTAAATTACTTGGAAAACTCCTCAACTAATTTGGCACAAAAAAGAATTGAAGAATTTTACTTAACAAAATAGGAGTACTATCAATTTTTTCTTTTATAAAGAATACAAGTTTGAAGTTTGTGATTTTGGGATAGGTTGCTGGACATGAGTGTCAACTTATTTATAGCCCAACTATACTTGTTCATTATGCAAATTATTATGGCTACAAATACGATGATAAAGTAATGATCTTGTGACTATTATTTTGTCACATTTTGGCCCAATACCTTCTAGTGATTTTGAAGAACTTTTTGAGTAAGTTTGCCAACGATGAACTTTCCATAAAGACTTACTGATGAAGTTTATCACCACTTTAGTGGCTACAATTAATAGATAATTCAAAGGGAGTGAATGGTTGAATGCTAATGCATCCTTAGGGTCTACAACTTTTGCTAGTAAAGTGGCAATTGACAATAGATACACCATAGTAAAATATGATGACTACTCATCTTACTAGATTAATAGGATGTGACCATCAACGAATAGTTTGAAGAAGATTACATCTTTGTGAACAAAGTGGAAACATACATGATCTTGACCTATGAATTTTTAAATTTGGATCAATTAAAGTAGCCCTTGAAGTTGGAAAATATTACTGCGTGTTTGTCTAGTGCAATGCAAGCTAGAAGAGTTTTTAGAAAAATACTTGATCGAGGTAACAATTATGTTTTTATATTGAATTTTAGACCTTTTGTGTCGTTATTGCTAGACGATTGAAATCTATATAATTCTAAATCTACCTCTAAAGAAACTTATAGCTACTTTGTACTTATTTATATACAAATAAGTTTCTTCTCAACTAAATAATTCAATTCTTAATTACCAATTAACCATTTAAACCATAAACCACATATTATAAATATTATTTCTAGATGTCCATACCCATTCGATGTCAAGACCCCACACAAACACTTGTTGATATTTTTGTTAGGCTCATGCTTTGTTTACTTAGTGCTCGAGTTCAATTACCTATATAAGCTCAAGGCAGTATTGAGGGAGGAATACAACTAGAAACAAAAATTTCATTTTTCATAATTTTATTTGTCTTTGTTATTTCCTTATTTACGTTAATGGTGTGTGACAATTTCATAGCGCTTTGTTCTTCAATTTTATAACACATTACGTTTTGAGAAGGAATTTTTTCCGAGCAATAGGTTGGGAAAAATCCTAAAATTGTCAGAGAGGAGTGTTCAAATCTTCTTGGACTTTTGAGGGCTTTTCAAATATCCCCATTCATTAATGTAGTAAATATGATTTTTTTTTCTCCATTACTGAATCGTCTAAATGCACCATCTTAACAAATTAAAATATAATAGCCTTCACATACTGTGAAACTTAAAAAATAAAAAATGGTAACTAAAAATGAAACATTTCGTTAATTAAAACAAAGTATTCGACATATACTAATTTTAATTACTTTAATATTAACTAAAAAATTAACAATTTAGAATTGCATAAAAACTTTTACGCGGCTAAACGATTCCCTCCAAATTGTTAAAAGTAAAAAAAAAGGCGCGGATTTCCCACGTGGCAGAAGGTTATTGTAAATTAACTTTTGCCACGGATCGCCATCCTTAAACAAATGAATGCGTCAAATCTAACCGTCCAAATCTCGACAATCCAACGGTCTTCCTAAAAAAGGAATCCCCCGAAAACTTCCTCGAAATTTAAAATCTCCCGCTTCTCCTCCATCGCAATCCCTATATCTCCACCTCCAATTCCGCCCAATTCTTTATCAGTCAATCGAGAAGTTCAATTTTCAGTACTCAAATCTTCAAATTTGCACAACCCATTTGACCGAATGGCTCGCACCAAGCAAACCGCCAGAAAATCCACCGGAGGCAAGGCCCCCAGAAAGCAATTGGCCACCAAGGCCGCCCGGAAGTCCGCTCCGGCCACCGGAGGAGTGAAGAAGCCCCACCGCTTCCGCCCCGGAACCGTCGCGCTTCGTGAGATCCGAAAGTACCAAAAGAGTACAGAGCTCTTGATCCGAAAGCTTCCATTCCAGCGATTGGTTCGTGAAATTGCTCAGGATTTCAAGACCGATCTGAGATTCCAAAGCAGCGCCGTCGCGGCGCTGCAGGAAGCGGCGGAGGCTTACTTGGTGGGTCTGTTCGAAGACACGAATCTGTGCGCGATTCACGCGAAGAGGGTCACGATTATGCCTAAGGACATTCAATTGGCCAGGAGGATTAGAGGAGAAAGGGCTTAGAGGGGTGCATTGATTTAATTTGCTGTCTTATTTCTTTTAGATTCTGTTTCTGATTCTATTTTAGTTTATGGTGTAAATCTAAATCTGCCGTGTCTGATTTGCTATCCCATGGGTATATTGTAGGTCGCATGTATATGGGACTTCAAAATCTGTGTACTAAATTAATCAGCCCCTTTCATTCTAGACTCTTTTCTTGTGGGTATCTGCTTAAATCTTTATTTCTTTGTTTTCTTACTGCAATTAGATGATCTCAAGTTCTTTTATTGACATTGGAGTCGCCATTGTACTGATTAAACCATTTGTTGACCTGGGTCTCCCAAGATTGTTTACATGATGTTCCATCTTTCGGTGTAACTATAACTTTGTCTGATATGTTTGGGATTTGTCAGCGATTGAGGTTATGGAATTGAATTTGCTTGCATTAGAGTTATTGTTTTGGGTTTTTTATTGGTTGTTGGAATAAATGTTCGGTATATTTCAGACTTTAGGCCAAACAAGCATAGGTTAAAGGCTGTATATGACCCATTTGAATTGAAATATCTGATGGCATTATGTGTTTCTCTGTTGATGGCTTAGGATTTGCTAAAAAATGCATGTTTTTTTCTCCTTTTACACCAACCAAGTGCTTTGCAACTGTTTTCACCTGCAGAAAAAGCACAAAATTTGCCTTAGACCCTCCAAGAAAACAGATCAAACACAGACACTTGAGACACAGAGAAACCAAAACTTGCATTACAAGTGTGTATTGTGTTAGGAAGATAGTGTAGAAAGCATGAGTTAGCTTTAGCTTTAGTTTTAGCTACATCTCACAATAAAAGCAACACGAACACATTCTTCATCCCAACAAAACCCCCACATTTTCTCTACAGAATTCACCAAAAGATGAATCAGGTAAACTTCAAGCCCCTGCAATTTCTGGTGTTCATGATGGCAACTACATGCGTTATGGAGCAAGGTAAAGCCAAGTTTTGTTCAAACAGTGTGATTTCCTCTCTTGTTCAGCTAATTCCTTGCAGGCCCTCACTCTCCCCATTCCGCCCCATCCCACCAAGCTTTCTCTGTTGCAATGCCATAAAAACTCTTGGGCAGCCCTGTCTCTGCGCTCTGTTGGATGGGCCCCCTGTTTCTGGTGTTGATTACAACTTGGCCATGTTGCTGCCTCAGAAGTGCTCTGCAGATTTCGACCCATGTACTTTTTTCTTGCCTCTGAACATTTTATGGTCGTTTGTGGATTTGGGACTCTTGAAAAATTTGGCTTTGTTTGTTGGGTTCTTCTGGTGCAGGCTTCTAAAAGCTGGAAAATGGTGGGGTGTGGAGAAGATGATGAATAAAACTGGTTATGGTGTTGGAAATTATGTTATAGCTAAAATAAATGCTTGTTTCGACTTTGGGATGAGAATAATTTTGGTTTTCTGATAGAGATTCTTGAAATACGTGTTTCATTCATTTGTATGTTGTTGAAATTGTAGGCAGTGTTATTAATATGTTGAAAAATTAGGGAAATATAGCAGTTTATATGCAGTTGAACCGTAGATCTAGAAATTTTGTTTAGAGGGGTTATGCTAATTTAACGAGTAATTTCAAAAAATCATACATAAAATGAACTATAATTTAATACCTCAAAATCGTCATCTACGAGTTTATTCTAATTTAACCAGTAATTTCAATATTTACTAACTATAATATTTAAAATAACCTCAATGCATATCATATTTGATTTTAGACAATTCGCGCAAGAGATCCGGTACAAAATTTAAAATAAAATGAAAAAAAAAGAAGTAAAAAGCGGGGTTCGAACGCAAAGATCTGGCACGAAATTCATATATAAAATAATAGGAAAATAAAAAATAAAAAGTGGAGCTCAGATGCCAGGAGGGCTTGAGCACACAAAACCACTGTGCTAGAGTGTGTTTTGTTCAAATATTTGCACATTAACTATATATTGCATAAAGTTCGGAGTAAATCTGTCCCTTGTTGCACTATATTCACGTTGAAATCAAACAAATTTAAGATAAGACATTATAGATGACGATTATACTAACCGTTTTAAAGGTCGTGCAATCATCCCATTTAAAATAACAATATTTTTCCTTCTAATAAAAAAGAAAATAAAATAACAATATATTGAAAATATATTTGAAAAATATATATTTTAAAAGTAAGTTAAAAAACAGTTTCATTGTCTATTATGTTTTCATTATTTGAGCTTTTTTTTTTAATATTTAAGCTTATTTATTATGTAATATCTCATAAGGTTTGACACATTTCGTGCGAGTATGTCATGTTAAGTTATGAATATATATATATATGGATATAAAATAATAGAGATCTGGTCAACGTTGTGAATTTTTTAAGAAATGACTAATTAATTTAGTAATATTAACTAAACCCTATTGTCATTTATTTTTATAAACTATATTATTATTTTTACTTAATACATAAGTTATTACCAGGGAGTTTTAAAATAGTTTTCTAATACACGCCAATTTGAATCTAATTTAACTATTTTAAATTAAAAAGTACTAAATTTAAATTTTGTCCTATAAATTGTAAAAAATAATAACAACAACGATGAAGGTACAATGATAGTTGATCGCTACCTAACATTAAAAATTGTTAGCGAGTTATATCATAATGGAGTTGCAACAAGTAGTGGCTAATGTCTGCCATTACAAGGTCTACAAGCTGGGGAGCCATTGATCGAGACTCATACTGTTCTACTCGGCTGGTTTCTTCGACATACCTTCCCACTCCATTCACGCCCCTGCTTATTGAGCTTCAGGCAATTCTTGAAAGTTTGCGATAAGCTCAATCCATGAGATTCACTCACCTCCAAGTTGAATCAGACTCTCTCAACTCGATTAGACTCATACATGGAGAGATCTCAACTTTTGGGGATGAACTTGGTTGGTTGATGGATATAAAGAATTTAGCCCTAAATTTATCCTCTATTACCTTCAACCATGTTTGTTGATTGAACAATAAACCAGCACACATGTTAGCCAAGAATGACCTCTGTCAGGCAAGCGCGTGTATATGGTCCACCAATTTTTTCCCTTTGTGGCTTCAGAGTCTTAATGAGGAAGATACCCTCTCAAATGTAGTCGATGTGACATTTTCTTAATTTAATGAAGTTCTTTTATCTCAAAATAATAATAATAATAATAATAATAATAATGAAAAAATAAAAATAATGTCCATTACAAGGGGGTTTTTTTTTTTGAAAAAATTGGAGTTGCCACAGAAAAATGTAAAAGGTCCACAAATTTTAAGGGAAAAAAACCAAGTCCACAAATTATTTTTCTAATTTATGAGATGTGGAACGAGTTATTTTCGAACGGGTGAGAAGTGCTTTGAGGAGAAGCACTCTATTAGTACAAAACCGCTTGGTCAAATTGAATTGTAAAGCAATCACGAAAACGAAAAGAAAAATAATAATAAATAAAGATCTTTAAAGGTTATTTTGGTCTTTTCAATATGGATCACATTATTTTACAATGGAATATTATTTGATCTATTTTCTATATTATAATCATGTCTAAAGAAAATCTATCATTCTAGTTTCTTGGAAAGTAAAACAGTTATTAGAAGTCAATTATAGAGAGCTCCTCATATCATTAGGTTCTTCTTTTTCTTTTTTTCTTTTTGCCTTTCTTTTTTAGGATCTTGTGATTTTTTGTACGTTTCTTCCAGGTTTATACCACTTTTTTTTTGGTATATTTGAAATGTCAAAATTAATTGTCACTTTCTAAAATCAAGGATACATCATTATCCAATATTACAATTTTAAATCAAAGTGATTTTTGCAATGACAAATACATACCTTAATACATATATACATAGATACATACATACCTACATTTCAAGTACAATACCTTAATATTTGATCGTAAAATATAAGTGATTTTAGAAAATCATAAAAGTGATTTTCACTATCACTTCCAAACACGTTGTTTCCTCTTCTCACTTCCCACCTATATAATTTTCTTTATAACGTCTTTCTTTTCTAATTCTATTGAACATTCATTACAAAACTATACAAATTTATATATCTTGCACCGTTAAAATATTGAAACATAAATGTTATAAGGAAAAATAAGAGAAATCACGAAAAAAAGTAGAAAATATTTATGCAAAAATATGAATGAATTAAGCATGTGTTTTAGTGCTTTGAATTACGTGTCGTCCATTGATTCACACAAATTCAAAGACTTATAAAAGTTGAAATTAAATATTCATTGGTATGTCGATATATCTATTCATTAATATTAGTCTATATTTTTTATAACTAAATTATAGGAAAATCATAAAATTATATAGATGGAAAATTAAATTGAGTCTAAGCTATAAGAATCAAATTAATAATTTAATCTAAAAAAATTAAATTCAATATAAATGAAATAATTCTTTATAGAAGGGGAAGGTAAAACATTTTTAAATTGTAGAAATAAATAAAAAATAGCCATTGGCTGCCGGGTCAAAACGTGGTTGCTTGCAATTTGATCAATGTAAAATCCTACAATTTTCATTTTATTGTTTTTAAATAATGAAGGGAAATTTTTAAAAGGAAAAGAGAAAAAGAACCTTACCTAACATTGTGAGCTAAGCGGCGCATGTGACGTGGAATATTTTATTTTCTTATTATATATATGTATATATATGCACTCAAGTTGTAATATATAATAAAAGAAATAATAATAATAACTCGAATCGTTCTAAAATTTGTTTGAAAAATTTAATATTGTATATCGAGGAAATTATTTTCTTCAAAAAAGAGACAAATTTCGAAATTTTAATTTAAATGGCAGTTTGTTTGAAAGTGTCAAACGTACATCCTTTGTTTTTCCAAAAAAATAATTTTAATAAAATGGAATCATTCTTTCACGAGATTAAAAATAATTTTTGTATAAAAAATATAACGGATAAAGTAAGGCACACTTAATTTTTACCCTTTGCTCGAAGTTGACACTATTTTAAACCTTTTTTTTTTTTGAAGGAAATAAGTTTTAAATTAATTATATGGTTGAGTATAAGTTATAGACTTATAGAATAAAATATAAAAGATTGTCCCTCTTTCGTCTTTATTCCAAAATCATGTTCTAACCAATGTTTAGGGTATCTTTAGTTTAATATTTTGATAGATAAGAGAGTTTTGATAATTGATTTATGGTTAAAATATTATTTTAGTTTGTTGATTTTAGTTCATCTACTCTTAAAATGTTCATTTTTGTCTCTCTAATTTATTTTAGTTTATATTCTTTTAACATGCTTTTAAAAAGTGAGAATTTCATTAATATCAAGTCATGGCTAAGTGTAGTGTCGTGTTGAAATTAAAATCGAAAAGTTGACATAAAATAACGAAGGGACCAAAATGATAACTTTCTAATAAACAAAAGTTGAAAGTAAAAGGACAAAAATTAATATGTTAAAAGTACGACAGGGACCAAACTGAACAAAATTGAAAGTATGAGGACTAAAGGTATTTTAAGGTAAATTTTTTTATTTGTTATTTTTTATTTTAACAATTTAATCTGGTGGAATTATTAATTTAAATAGGGGGGAGATTTGAATCTATGACCTTAAATGAGATTACCAATATTTTGATTAGTGGAATTATCTTCCAAATAATTCAGGAAACTATGAAAGTAATAATCAAATAGATCTTTTTATAAAAAAATGTATAATATTCCTAAAAGTATATGGTGAACAGGGGAAATATAATTATATATATATTAATTTACTTTCTTGGGAGATATAATATAAGAGGAAAAAAATGGAGTTGGACGAGTCAAATTGGACTTGAGAAATAGAAGATTTCAAACTTGGGTTTAAGTTGACCTTGATTTTATGCTAAAATTTATTGAAATTTACCAAAATAATTTAACTCTTTTGCCACATCACACAATACAAACTTTTGCTTACTTGTCCTTTTGTTATTTATTCAACTGTCTTTTTATTAATTTAAAATTTATATATTTCAATAATGGAACCAACACGACAAGCTTAAATTAGAATCTAACTCAACCTTTAATCAGTGGAGAAATCATGTTAATTGGAAGTAACTTTTAGAAGAAATTTTAAGAATACAAGTTTTTGAAAATTTTCAAGAAGAATAAAAAAATGTTAAATTAATTAAAATTATCTCTTTAAAAATTTAAATTTCAAATTCTGAATGTAAAATAAAAATATTTGTACGCGCATGATCGTGATGAGGTGAACGAGTCAACTTCTAATTCAAGATAGATGTTTAATTATAGCCAAGTAATAACCTACAAACAAAATCTTGGATTGGTACTCGATTATGACTATGCATACTAATTAGTCAGGCTGCATATCATTTGTGAGGAATGAACCCCACATTTTTCAAGGGAGCTTTGCGAAGTATTGTCTTACCATTCAAGTGCTCCGTGCCCAATATTCAACGAATTTTATGCACGTAAGATCCATGTTTTTAATTCAATGTCAGGTTAGACTTTCACAAGGTGAGTCGACCCATATATAACCCTAGGCCTAGGCCTGTTCAAAATGTTGCCCAAACATGAGTTTTCAGGCGAGAGCGTCACGTAACAAGCTCCAATTCCACTATAACACAATTTAATTGGTTGTCATGTATTAGACATCAATATATTTTTAAATGGGTGGAAATATTTAATTGAAAGAGGACACACAAGTAAAAGGACAAGCTTTGAAAGTCTATAAAAGGGCAAGGGGTGGAGAAATGGGGGAAAAGGAATGACACTACCAAAGAAATAGAATCATTCATTATTCATTTGATTCTTCATGGGAGAGATGATGACAGAAACCAACACCTACATCTTCTACATCATCCTCTGCTTCCTCACAACTCTCCTCCTCCAATATTTCTTCCACCGCCGGACCACCAATCTCCGCCGCCTTCCGCCAAGCCCGCCGTCGTTGCCGCTCCTCGGCCACCTCCACCTCCTCTCTCCTTCCCTCCACAAGTCCTTCACCGCCCTCTCCTCCAAGTATGGTCCCCTCCTCTGCCTCCAGCTCGGCGCCGTCCGCTGCATCGTCGTCTCCTCCGCCGCCCTCGCCACCGAGGTCTTCAAGACTCAGGATCTCGCCTTCTCCTCCCGTCCCAAGTTCGCTTTCAGCGACGAGACCCCCTACGGCAGCTCTGGATTCTTTGCTGCCCCTTATGGCGACTACTGGCGCTTCATGAAGAAGCTCACCATGACCGAGCTTCTCGCTCCCAAGCAAGTCGAACGGTCACGTGCTGTTCGATACGAAGAGGTCTTGAGATTTTTGAAAAAAATGGTCTCTGCCGCGGAGAAGAACCAGCTCGTTGATGTTGGTGGCGAGCTCATGAAGCTCACCAACAACAGCATTTGCAGGTCGCCATAAATTTTCTTAAGGAGCCTTGGATATATACATTTCTTAATCTTATGATAAACTTGTCTTTTGCATGAACACAGGATGATGATGAGCATAAGATGTGCGGACGACGGCGACGAATCGGAGAAGATCCGACAGCTAGTGAAGGACACAATGGAGGTCGGAGCAAAAGTCGCGTTCGGAGACGTGGTGGGGTGGCCGCTTAAAAGGCTGGCCTTTTGGATATACGGAAAACAAGCCATCGACGTGACCATGAGGTACATGTTTCAACCAATATCCACCGGTATACTCCTGTACTTCAAGCCAACTTGCATGTAACTCGATTAATTTTGCGGGACAAGTGCAATAATTGCAGGTACGACGAGATATTAGAGAAAGCGTTGAAGCAACACGAGGAGAGAGGGAAGATAGAGGGGTATGATAGAGAAGATAGGGACTTGATGGACATAATATTAAAGGTTCATCAAGATAGTGAAGCTGAGTTTAAGATTACAAGAACAAACGTCAAGGCTTATTTGCTGGTAAGTAACTAACACTTTTGGGTTTCTCTTCTCTTCATTAAATTTGTATGCATCATCTATTTTCTGTCTTTATTGGTGTATCAACTGCTCCCTTCTAAATTCTTCTTGTCATTTTGTTCTCATAAGAGAGAGAGAGAGGCATTATTCTTTGAATAAGAGAAAAATGATGATCCAGATCTGGGTTTCTCACCAAAGTTTGAATTTTGACGAAATTTAAGATATTCATCTCATTTTTTGGGCATTAATGGTGTTCAGTTAATTTTGAGTCAGTATTTAAAGAATTGTTTTATTTTGGTTGGTAAATTTTAATTCCTAAACTTTAAAATTGAAAGAAAGTCACTCTTATTTAATATAAAAGTTTATTTTTACTTTTAACACAATCAGAATATGATTTTTCTTAGTATATTTTACATTACTTTCGAGTTTGATTCTCTTAAATGACTCACTAACCTAACAATTCAAATTCATGTCGTCATCATTAACATATTAATGTGGAGCGTTGTGTAGGTAAGAACAATATAGATTGACTGAATCAAATATACACGAAATAAACACCAGAATGATTAATTTAAGAGCATATTATCTAGTTAATTGGTAATTGATTAATGGTAATTAAAGGATATCAGCCGGCGAAGAGAGAGAAAAAAAAACAGATCAAAATTTTGTCTAAAACATTTGTTGTTTTCATAATTTCAGGATCTGTTCGTCGGCGGCACCGGCACCTCGACGGAGGTGATGCAATGGATTGTTGCAGAGCTGATCAACCACCCTAAAGAACTCCAAAAGCTAAGAGATGAGATCCTCTCCGTCGTCGGAGATTCGAGGCTCGTCCAAGAAACCGACGTTGCCAAAATGCCCTATTTACAAGTAAGGTTTTAAATATGGAGATCTGAATTTATGGAAATATTTGTTTATAAAAGTGTTAATTTAAAGTAATAATATTTTTAAGTTCATACCAGCAAAAAGTATTTTTTTTTTAGGATTATTCAAAATCATCGACCTCGTAACGAAAATGAAGATATATATCAATCATGATTGAATTAAGTTATTTAATTTTCATATATATATATATATATATATTTTCCTTTTAGGCCGTCGTGAAGGAAGGCCTAAGAATGTATCCCGCTGTGCCTATTGCCATGAGGAGCTGCCCGAAGAGTTGCAAGGTCAGCGGTTACGACATACCGGAAAACACGATGGTCGGTGTTAACCTATTCGCGATCATGCGAGATCCAAATGTGTGGGAGGATCCAAACGAGTTTCGGCCGGAGAGATTCTTTTCCCCGGCGAAGGAAAATGAGGGGATGAAGCAAATTCAGTACGAGATCAAGGGCCAGAATTTCAACTTTGTGCCGTTCGGCGGCGGAAGGAGGGGGTGTCCGGGATCCACGTTGGCATTCACGACGAGTACCCTCGTGGTCGCCGCCGTGGTTCAGTGCTTTGACTGGAAAGTTGACGGGAAAGAGGAGAAAAAGGCCAGTATGGAGATCGGGTCGGGTCTCGGGTTGCCCATGGCCCACCCGCTTACTTGCATTCCGGTTGTGAAGTTCAACCCGTTTGGTTCTAATTAAAGGAATTTGCAAATATGGAAGAGAGAAAGAAAGAGAGAGAGAAAAAATATATGGAATGTATTTTTATTGTTTAATTACCTTTACCACTAAAACCTTTGTGTTTTTTTATCTAATAAAAATCATAAAGAAATTTGTGATAAGACTATTAATTTTACTTTTGAGAAAAAAAATGTAAAAATGGTGACATTTTTAAAATTCAAAAGTTTACAACAAGCAAGCAGATACCAATATATAAATGTGTTTTAATCTTCATAATGTGAAATATTATGTGTTCCATTTTATTTACACAATTATTACCATTTTTTCATCATTTTCAAGATATTTACAAGTATGGATTTTTCTTTATTTTATATCTAATTTTTGCCTTGTTTACACGATGTGCTTACAACTACTGAAAACAAAAATTGGAATGGTGCAGATTTGTTAGAATTTTTTCTCAATTAAATTTGATTTTATTTTCAAATCTATGATCTTATACTCAGTTTGTACACATTTAATTCTCCTAGACTTTATTTTAAATTACACTTTTTTTTTGTCTACTTATTCCTTCGCACTTATATGTATTTATTTATTTATTTTTTCATTTATTGATTTGATACCTCACCTACAATTATCTCTCTAAGAGTTGGAGTTTGACTTTAGACTAATTAATCATATCATATTATATGTAATAAATTAATCACAACTTGATGTAAACGAGGTGCTGTGGGCATTGACCATACTTTTTACCATATATATATATATATATAAATATATAAAAGCTTGTTTGTTCCCTATAATCATTTGTACCCTGTTATGGAGGTCATCTGGAAAGGTATCAAAACGTTTTTTTTATGAGAAAAACAAATTACGTTACGTAATATTCTTGACAAAAAAACATATCACTTTAATTTTAGACAATATAATAATGATAATTTTAGACCATATTTACCTTAAATAATGAGAATCAAGGAATGAAAATGAACTTTTAATGATAATGTTTACTAATTTTTAGAAACAAAATCAAGCGGTGAGACTCACTCAAATTTGGTAATCTCATCTCACATTAATACCATTCAATTCCTTATTTCATAGACCTCACATATTTATTATAATTACTTTACTTACTCTTTCTCTATCATCTATTAATGACTTATAATTCTTTTTATTAATTGTTTTATATTTTGATTATTTATTTTTCATTTATATTATTAATAATTTTTCTACTAATAAAACTTTTATTAGTTTGTGTTACAAGATATTAGAAACTTATATTTAATTTTTTAATTTTACTTTGTTATTATTAATTAACATTAATAGATTTTTAAAAATAAAATTTAATGTTATCAAATATTAGAATAATAAAAATTTAATAATATTTTATATTAAATGATAGGTTGTTCGAATAAAAAGGTATTTTAGTTGATGTAATTTTATTTTGGTTGTTAATTATATATTAATATTACACTATTAATAATATATTATTAAAATAAATTAAAATATAATATTATTGTAATTAATAAAAAAGATTAAAAACAAAAGGGTATACTAGTAATTGTCATATCTCTTAATTCCAATTCAAACCGTTTTATTCTCATTCCAATTGATTTGATTTCGATGGATTCATTCCGACTCTGATTCTAATGATTTTATTTTATTTTTATCTAATTTTCTCTCCATCACTATTTCAATACAACACTATACTCAATAGATTTTTTAAAATAATGTAATAAAATTTGCTTTAATATTTATGCAAACAAAGACATCCAAAATAGTCCTATTTAAAAGTATAAAAGTCAAGACATAATTTTTTAAAGTACAAGAACTAAAATAAACTAAAGTTGAAAGTAAAAAAAAAAAAAAACTAAAGCGAAAGGTAGGAGACATAATATATTAATTCAAATGAACAGTTTTACAAAATAAAAAAGAACATTAATGTGTCCAATATTCTTTTCAAATTAGTAGTAAAATTAAAGGAAATCAAGCCAGTCAATTATTACTTTGACCACACTGTTCAAAAAAAAAAGTATTCCTGTTTTTTTAGACAAGAGAAAGAAAAAAAATTACTTTGACCATGGAATATTTGAATATTTGAGATTATTATCTGTGCCAAACATAATGTTATTTAAAAAAAATGGAATTATGCACTACTTATTCTATGGGCCCTAAATCATTTAGATAACTTCACGAATAAAATTATTTTAAAAAATATGTTAGTTTTATTTGGTCAATGTCACAAGTTTTATTCTATGAACAGCTATAAACTAAGGACTAATTAAAATATATATATATATATATATATATATATATATATATATATATATAATGGTGTCATTATCAATTATGATTATTTTCAATGAATTTGAGTGGCTTTCAATCAATTAGGTTTTCTTATATATATAAATAATGGTGTCATTATCAATTATGATTATTTTCAATGAATTTGAGTGGCTTTCAATCAATTAGGTTTTCTTCAACTTTATTTATTATATTATATTTATTATTATTATTTTCAATTTGGTTTTTCTTTTACCAAACATGTTGAGACCAACTCAACAAACCTTCAAATATTTCAACAATTTAAAATTGCAATTATATACAAGCAATTTTATTAGATTGAATCCCTCTCTTAAAAATAAAATATTGAGATAACTTTCAAAGGTGGCTAATCAAGTTTTACGTTGTTTAATTTTAATAACATTTTATGAAAAATAGTTAAAAAAAAAAAAACTAACCATACATTATTATGACACTGATAGATTAAAAAGGATGTTCTTTGTTCGAAAGAAATCTAAATATTTGAATGATTAACATTTAAATTTTTTTAAATTTGGATGTTTGTAATTATTAGAGGTGTCTTCAGTAATGTTTTGATTTGATATTTGTATCTTATATTTTATTTTTCGTTCCTTTTTCTTAAAATCAAACATTTGATATTCATTTATATTTTTTGTTCTTCCAAAACCTTTGTAATCTAAATAATTGGTAGAAATTTTGTACAATTATAATCGTTTTAAAATATACATGTTAAAATAGAGACAAATGATTAGGGATAAAAATGCCATTATACAATGTCTTCATCATGAGTTTTATTTATTTATTTGTAATTAAGTTCATCGTGAGAAGCTTAGAAGTTTATAGGTTGTGGAATAATTTTTTTTTCTATATTTTTGAAAAGCAAATACATAATTTTACCAAACTTATTGGCATCTAAAATTCCTACCAAATAAAATTCCCGCATAAAATTTATTAGACACGAAATTAAAATTAAAAGTTAAATGACTTATTTATTTATATATATATATATATATATATATATTTATTTATTTAAATATAAAGACTAAATAGATATAATCACAAAAGTTTATTGACGTATTAAAAACTTTTTAAAGTACGAAACAAATACACACTATCTTAAAAATTCAAAGACCAAACTTATAATTTTGCAACTCATAAGAAAACGAAGACATGTTTGATCACTTAAAACTATATTCACATCTCCTTAACTTATCTATTTACATATATTGAAAGATTTGAATATTTTACAAAAATCAGTGTTCTGTTGAATTGATGTAATGTTGGGCTTCTTCTAATGGCTGGCCCAACATCAATACTTGAAAGTAGGCCCATGGCATTAGGCCTTTTGTATGACATTGTCAATTTGGGCCAAGCATGAAATTGCACATTTCCAGTGGTGTCAATGTAAATAGCCCCTTTTTCTTCTTCTTCTTCTGTTTTTTTGAAATTATAATTTGAAACCTTGGTGCTACAAATTATAATTTAGCCACCACTTAGTTAGAAGTGGGGAAGACCTTAATTAGATAAGTAAAGATAATATCTCTGGTTATAGGTAGAAACAGAGACTGTCACATGACCCTCTCGCTTAGAATCACGTATCTATCAGTTCAAGATTGAACGGGCCATAGTCATTTTTGATTGACCCATGAATTCCTAATTCAAAACCGTTTGAAAATAGAGAGATGATCGACGTAACTCTAAGCAGTAGGTATGGAGTACCTACATGACATGATAATGCTTCTCAAAACTCCCTATAAAAAGTGGGTCCGTTTCTCACGAAAGTACGCAATTTCTATGTAACCTAACTAAGATCAGCACTAGTTTAAACTAAGTTATAATTTAAGATAGAATTTATACCGGACAATATCCAAGATATAATTTGAAGAATGAATTAGATAGATTGAAGAGTCAATTAAGTACCAGATAAACATGAGTAGCTAAATTTCACAGCTCAATTATGATCATAATGGCTAACAAATTACCATGTATATTTTTTTTTTGGTTTCATAATAAAGAGAATGGTTAACGTGAGTATATTTTAACTAGTTAAAATCAATGTTTTAAATACTGATGTTGATGGAAATGTTGAGATATTAATTTCAAGAAAATGATGGAAATTTCTGTAAGTGAGAGAAATTTAAAAAATCATAAAAAATATTTAAATTAACAAATAAAGCATTTTTCTATCTTTCTATAGGTTAGAAAAGATTAATATTAATTTTATGTATATATTAATGACATTTTGTTAATATTTTTCGTATGTTGTCAATTTTTTTTTACTATGGTAGAAATTTCGATTTACTTCTCATGTCGACGTGAAAACTTATAGATATATGGATATAGAAATTCATTAATATCTTTAAATCTAAAATTTGAATCAACGCCGTAATATGTACACAAATGTATAAACCAAACAGAAATCAATTTTAGCCCATTGGCCACTCAACTAGGTAAAAGATAGAAAATTTTCCCATATCATCACAGGATTCTCACTGTAGAAGGATCCTTTACAACATGAAACTTCTCTGTCCAGCTGATTTTCAAAAGTTCAACCATAACCATAATTGCTGAAAAGTTACCATATATTTTTTCTTGTCTGCTTCCATAATCAAATACAAATAGAATACAAGGCAGCACAGGCAAATTGTTTCTTTCCTGTTTCCAAACCAAATATATCATTTTGACAACCAAATGATTACCTCGGTACGTGAGAGCTCCTACTGACTTTCTAACGCGTCGTATATTTTTATTCGTTAAAATAATTTAGTGGGACCCACTTATCGATGAGTAGTAAATCCTACTGGCTTTCTATAAACCAACATTCAAACTTGGAAACCCCCAAGAGCCACTGCTATAAATTCATGGTGTAAAATCATGTTCAAAGATCACAGCCAACTCCACAAACTTCCCCCATTGCTAATCTCATGGAGTTCTCCCTGTTTTTCCTTTTGGATTTCCCCTTTTTCTTAGGTACCAAACACAAATCTCTTGCTCTGTCTCTGTTTTTGTTGATGGTTGTTTTTTCAGGCACTGATGCGGCAGTTTTCACTTTGTATAACAAATGTAGCGACATGGTATGGCCAGGAATCCAACCAGGAGCAGGGAAGCCTCAGCTGATGAACGGCGGATTTCCGCTAAAGCCAGGTGAAACCGTAACCATCAATGCGCCTGCAGGGTGGTCGGGCCGGTTCTGGGGTCGACGCGGATGCTCGTTCGACCTCTCCGGCAAAGGGGCGTGCATTACGGGCGACTGCGGTGGGCTACTCCAATGTGCAGGAGCAGGAGGCACCCCGCCTGCTACACTTGCAGAGTTCACCTTAGATAGTCCTTTGGACTTTTATGATGTTAGCCTTGTGGATGGTTATAACGTGCCAGTTTCGGTATCCCCGTCCGGTGGGTCAGGAGCTTGTCAAACGGTGAAATGCATATCGGACTTGAATCGACAATGCCCCGGTGGGCTGGAGGTGAAGAGGAATGGCACGACTGTGGCTTGTAAAAGCGCGTGCTTGGCTTTCGACAAGCCAGAGTATTGCTGCACCGGGGCGTATGGCACCCCGCAGACATGCAAGCCTACGGTTTATTCGAAAGCATTCAAGTTAGCTTGTCCCATGGCTTATAGCTATGCATATGATGATCCAACAAGCACTTTTACATGTAAAAATGCAAACTATTCAATTCGATTTTGTTGAATGAATGATCCATCATTTGGTTCTTACATTGAACTTTTACTTCCAATAGTCCTATATGAAACAGACAATCTCCTAGAATCCTATAACTTTAAACAGAGTAGACAATGTTGTGTTGTTGCTCTTCATGTTCCTCATGGCTTATCTGTGGTCTGTACAGATAAAAGTAAAGCTAAAAAACGGGGTTTTCTTTTTCTGGCTTCTTTCTATTTACTCGAACACAAACACGTGCATCTTGCTTTCGTATCCGTGAGGGTCTGCACGAAAAAATAAGAGATTTTGTGAGAAAAAAAGAAAGTTGGTTTTGGCTCTTCATGTGATTTTATTAACTTCTATGGTTATTACCTTGACCTTTCTCTGTAGGCCTTTAATGTATTCAACAGCTAACTCTAACATATCGGCCGTGCTTGTTTGCTGTGAGAAAAGATTGATTCATTCAACTTTATTCAGTCTTTGAACATCGAAACCGTACGCCACAGCGAGATTTATTATCTAGGCTAGGGATAATTACCTTGTCCATGTCAGGAAACAACTCTTGCAGTTTCTTCATTCGCTCGCTAATTCGGGTTCTTCTCATCTGAAAATTCGAGGATTCGAAGATTATACATTTGATGAATTACAGTTAATTAGTGTAGGACAATGAAAGTTTGATTGAGAGAAGAGAGGATCTACCCGCTCTGCAATGCTTCGTGGGTGCGTGGCGCATCCTCTTTTCGCCCGAATTTGATGAGGAACAGGATCTTGAAATGTCAAGAAATTCTCCACAGGTGCCTTATCAGCAAAATTTATAGGTAAACTCAAATGATGAGACAAACCGCGAATGCTATTTCGAGAATCTGTATTCTGTAAAAAAGAATAGCTAAGCTAAACCATACTCAAACCAACATCAAGTAGAAACAACTTGCAAGTATAACAACTCACTAAGTTGTACCTTTGTTTCAAGCATGATCGAAGTTGAAAACGTGCGCCCATTGTTATCTCTTCCTCTTTTTAAGTCCCTCATCGCAGACTCATCCCAAGAACTATTGAGGAAATCGTCGGTGTGAAGTCGATCGACTTTCTGTATGCGATGATGAGAGCTACTTACCACATCCATGCTTTTGTTCTCCTCTTCTGCAATGGGAGGCATGTGGCTTGAGCCAAAAGATTGGCCAGATAAGTTCAACTGATTACCAATCCGTGTAGTTAATGGATAAGCAGCATCTGCATCTTTTCGATTGCAAGTCCCGAATTTTTCGACATCCCTCGTCGTATTACAGCCTGCAAGTAAACAAGAGATAGAATCCTATTAAAGAGTGACATCCCTCGACTCTTTATTTCAGGTTTACTTCTCCCGCTACGAACTAAGAAAGCATTCGTTTTGAACTTCATTTATTCAAAAAACTTTAAATAGCACACACATGAAATCGGTAGCCTTTTGCTTGATTTATCGTGGGGTCAGATTCTTACAAGTAGAAATTAAGGAAGGGTCTCCTGCCCCCTCTTCCCCTTAGCAACCTCTTTATCCAAATAGATTACTTCTTTTACATGTTATTACCAAAAGAAAGAAGATTCAAAAGGAAAGGGAAAAGAAAGGCATGGATAACAGATCACTGTTTCAAACTTCCAACAATCAACCATCTACAATCTCCATAGAAGCTAAAGCAAAGGGAAATCAAAAGTCTTCCATCTCAAGAAAAATATTCATTCAGATTTGGAGCTAACAAGTTCAAAAGTATGACAGCAGAGGGATTTCAACCAATCAAGTTATCAAAAACATCCACCCAATAAACCTACATCTTATAGTTTGAAATATAAGAGTTTCTTTCATATCCTTCACCATGAAAGAGCAAAACTCAAATTGAACAAAGAAAGAAATATTACCATTTTCAGCAGTCAAATGGGAGAAAAACCCAGCGGGAGAGCTATTTTGCCTGAAAAGATTAGAGCAATTCCTCGCACCCAATTGCAATTGCATCGAGTTCCCAAAATCAGACGAATTCATAACACTAAACGAGTTCCCAATCCGAGCTCCAGCAGCAGAATTAACCATTGAAGAAGAAGAAGAAGAAGAAGATTGATTGCGATATCCATTTTGCTGGTGAATAGATTCCACAGTTTCTTGCTTCACCACGGTCTCCCCCAGCCCTTGAGATCCCGAATCGACGGTTCCATTACACGACGCCATGAATCTCGACAAAATAACTTCCACCTCAGGGCTTGAAGATCGAACAAGCCGATAATCTTCCCGCCCCCCACCGTCGCCGCCGCCATTTTCGCTCGAATTAAGACCTTCAGCTCCATCGACGAGGCTCGCGAAGAGAGAGGTGGGAGCAGAGCAATAGCCCAGAAGACCACCAGAATTATGGTGGTCTTGTGGAGGATGATTGGGGTTCGTATCGCAATCCATGAAATCAGGGTATTTCTTCATCTCGTCGTTGGAGAATTTGAAATTCGTACTGTAAAGAAGACTCATAATTAATTCCCCTCAAATCCAGAATCTGCAAACAGAGCCATAGAAGTAGAAAAGTGAGCTTAATCAAGAACACGAAGAAAAAACAACTTCAATTCTGGAATCATTTCATTCCTCTCACCTCACGAATTTGGAATTCCGACAAGACCCTTTACGAATTCTTGTTTTCTCGAGAAAATTCTTGATTGAATCAGAGGAAACAGAGCAAATTCTGCAGCAATTCAAACTGAAGAAGCTCCACTATCACTTCAAGCATTTGAAGGAAGAGAGAAGAAAATGGTAATACCCCATTGAGCCACCTGTTCATATATTTAAGGGCTCAAGGTTTCATGAATACCCTCGATTTTGAGAATTATTACTCAAACTGCCATCAATGAACAGTGAAATCTGGTCCATGACATCAGATTTTCGTTGACCAAAACGGTCATCCTTCGCGCCTCGTACTTTTTATTTTGACATAATTTTTAGATTAAAAAGTCGCGTTTCAATGGTGGTACAACAAATGAGATCGAGATCGAGGGATTGGAATGACCTTCGTCGAAAAATAAAAGACCTTTAGAATGATTTATTATAAATATAGATTACGTATTTTATTGTCAATTGATTTTTAGAAGGAATCCTATATGATATTAGAGCTTAAAAACACAAACGAACATCCGGTCAAGATTGATGAATAAAAAAAAAACTCCCATCTTAAATGTCATTTCTCATATATTGTAATAAAAAAATCTTATTAAGTAATTCTCATGAATTTGGATAGCTTAAAGAAAAGAAGAATTTTTATTAAAATGATATCATCAATCTATTTATGTAGTCCTATAATTCTATATTAAGTTTGGGTTTGGAATTTAGTTATAATTCAAGAAAAAAACAAATGAAGAAAGAAAGTTATGTCAAGTTTCATGTGGGTAAATTAAAAAAGAATAATTCTTTTGCCTAAAAAAAAAGAATAATTCTTAATTGGGTCCTTTGTCTTTTAAATGTTTCATTATTACTCCTATTTAAGGATACTAAATGTCTTATAATTAATGAAGGGCAAAAAAAGTTTAAAGTTACAGGTTACTTAAGTAGAAAAATAATCTTTCTGTTTAAATTAGATAAATAAAATTTTAAAAATATAAAAACTAAATTTAAATTTAAAATATTAAGCGAATAATTACATCTCGAAATGAGCATATAAAATAAATAAAATTATAAAAAAAAAAGGTGAGATCGAAAAAAATGCGATTGCCGACTTGGCTTGTAGAACAATACACTTAGAAATTTTCTTCTAAAAAAAAATCTTTACTTTCTCATAAAGTTTGAAAATGATGCATTTCAAATGGATAAGGACATTGATGGTTTATATCGATCCAAATGGAGTGACTCGCTCCTTGACTCGGCGAGTTGGCATCCGAGTTAGATCCCTAAGTCAAAGAATCTCAATCGTCAAGGGATGATGCCAAAGAAGATTACCCAATGAAGAATCAATGCTACAATAATATCGTCATTCCTTTTTTCATATTTATTCCTATTTGTCAATCCGAACATAATTTTAAGGGTAATCACTTTTTACTTTAGTATTTGACTTAATTTTGTCAAATTAAATTATAAATTTGAACCAACTTGATAAGTAATATATGAAATTAACACGTAAAATCATTGAAATATCCAAACTTAACCTTGAAAATACTCGAATTTAGTAACAAATTTAAACATGTAAAACAAAGCGATTAAGAGCTAAAAAGCATACAACATGTTCATAAATATTATTTCCTACAAAAATAGTATTGCTTACATGAGAGTGCTTGGGTTGCCACAATTCTTCGAGAAACGGTAAACTCAACTAGTTGAAAACATTAATTTCCAACTAATAAAAAAAAAAAAAAAAGGTCTGCACTTCTAAGTAATGGTGACCTGGGCCTTTTAACATATTTATCATTTATTTAAATTTAAGGTTAAAATTAGAATCACAGTAAATAAATTGAAAATTTACCTTTTTCTTAATCTTTTGTGTTTCTCCCTTCTCCTTAAATCTTATCACTCACACTATCAATTTAATGTGTTAATAATTTCCCCTTGCCCCAAAAAGATTTCGTGTTATGCTCAAAAAAAAAAAAAGTTGTGTTTTTCTCCTTGAAAATATTAAGACAATAATAAATATTAAATCCACAATTTCATTTGAGGTTATATATTTCCTTAATTTTATTGGAGCTGTAAATTGTATTCTAAAATTTTAATTATGCAAATATTCAAATTAAACTATTCAAAAGTTATTCTAAAAATAGGAGATAGACGTATATTTTTTTCAAAAAAAAAATTACTATATGTATGTCCATTTGAAACTAACGCGGCGTACGTAGTGTTGAATAACATTTCAAATTCAAAATTTTATGACATGTCACTAAATTGGAATCTCTATAACCTTGAATGAATATTAAAGTGAGACTAAGAATGGAGTCTTCCTAACTAATCTTTAAATCACTTTTAAAAGTGACACTAATTAATTGAATGCATATTGTAATGTTTGTTCTTCACTCACCATTAAACTAGGGGTTGACTTTTAAACAAAGTTAACTCAACTCATTGGAGCAAGTTGGTGATGGATACTATGATCTGAAATGGCCAACTATGTACTGCCTAAAATTAATAATACCAAACTAATGATGTCGTTTTATTGTGTATGAAATGTGAATTAAAAATGAATAACAGGTGAGATAAGATTCAAGTATCTGACTATTTTAGTAAAATATTATATGTACCATGAAACTTTATTTCATCTTTAAAATCTAAGTTAATTATTTGTCTATAAATCTAAAATTTAACTGATGAAATATATCCGAAAGTAAGTCATAAAATACCCAACTCAACAATAAAATACAAAACTTTAACCATAGAGCAATTTTTTTTAAACCCTAAAGTTGAATTAGAAACGTTCAAATCCAATTAGTAAAACGCCAAACCAAAAAAAAAAAAACAACAAATATGTGCATAATTGTTAAAGTAAGCGTAACTCAACTATAATTGGTATATCTTAAGAAGTTGTGAACTCTAGGTAACGTAACCAATAAAAAATATTTAGTCGAAGTTTTCATTTAATGTTATTGGAGCAACTGAAGAAAATAATATATATATTTTTTTAATTGGATTGACCAGAAATATTGAAGTCGTTACAGAAAAAAACAAAATAGAACTCCCCAAAAAAATAAAATATTATTTTCTCTCGGTAGAATTTTACTTTTTCCGGGAACGTTTATATCCACAAATATCGAATCATTGAGGAAAAATAAAATTATTTTCTCCGTCTGCGTTGCTGGAGTGGAAAATAGAGTAATTTATCAGATAAAATATACATGTAATTTTAGTCCTTGAATTTAAGGATAAAGTTTATTTGGTCACTAAATTTAAAAAATTTATAATTATATCAGTTTTAAAAAATAGTTCTAAAAAATCTGAGTTTCAAATTAAAAAAAATGGTATGTTGAAGTTTGGGACACTAAATAGTGTGACATTTACCTATGTATTTATTTTAAATATGTGACGTTTGTTGGTTTAAAAAAAATAAATACTTGATTTTTAAAAATATGGGTTAATGCCAACCTGAGTTGCTTAATAATAATTGACACATGTATCTGATCAAAGAGCTTATGAGTTCGAATCTCCTACTGATCTCACTCGTATAACCTCGAATCCCCCACTCCTACTCGTACTAGACAATCTGCGTATGAGGATGGTTGTTTTACTCTTGAGTTTCTCTTCCATGTAATTTCAATTTAAATTTTATGATTTCATTAAACCTCTTAAATCATTGTTTTGACTCCTCCGATAGCCAACATAATTTAAACTCTATAACATCAATAGCACATTCAGTTAAATTAAAAAAAAAAACAAGGATTCAATATGCGATAATATTAAAGATGCTAAAATGAAATTAAGCTTAAATCAGAAGGACACGACGACATCAACCTGATAATTTAAGATTAATTTATTTATTTATAGCTTTTAAGTATGGTTCAAAATCAAGTTTGGTAAACCATCGTGATCCTTATAAGACTTTGATAATTGAAGTCAAGCTTACCGCCAATCTTAAAAAGTGGTTTCAAGGTTTCGAGTTTCAAACTAGGGAAGAAAAATTATATTATATAATTTTTTTTTTGTCATTTATTTTTGGAAAAGACATCAAAATAGACAAAAATTAGTTCTATTTAGAAAGTCAGCGAGGGCAGCTTAGCCAACTTTATGCGACCCTTATTAAATAATCTAATTACCTTTTATTTATCTATAAATTATATGGTCAAACTCATTTATTTTTGTTTAGAAAATAATCACGTTTTTACGCTTTGTATAATAAAATAATATACTTTTTTCTTTTTTGAGTACAACATGTTGGGAAAATGATTTAAACTTACAACATCTTAGCTTGAGGTATATGTCAATTACTATTGAACAATATTCGTTTTGATTATAATAAAATAATGTTCTTCTTTTTTTACTCGAATATATTATTAAGCTTTTGGAGTATATATAGATTAATGGTTGAATTAAAAGTTTAATCCCTTATAAATTTGAAATTGTTTTTAATGAGTTTGTTTGTGAACTTTTAAAAGGTATCTAATGTTGGGAAATTAATCATCTTTTAAATAGAGCAATCCTTAAAATCCAATTAGGAGTTAACAAATTCTCAATAAAGTAAATCACAATTTAGTGATAACAAAAGGAAATACAAGATAAGGATAGGCCGGAGTTTATATTGGTTTACCCCTAATTTTGAACTATGTCTAAGCTTTTATAACTATAGGTTCTAGTGTTCTACTATGATATGAAAATTACAATAGGTATCTCTCACGCTCTACCATGCTCCCAAGGGGTACTACAGCAACGGCGGTTGCCAAGCACCACAACCTTGTCCTTCACGTCCTGCAAGTTTTATAGAAAATCATCTCAGCATTGCAACGCTACGAAGTGTAGCTTCGCTGCATGTCTTTCCACTTCACGTTTCCTTTGTGGGTTTTGGTTCTGGTGGCGTTGCGACACTACAATTAACGTCTCAATACTACGAACTTTGGTATCATGTCTAATTTTCTCAGCCCCGCACTAGCATCGCGACACTCTGATCAGCATCTCAATGTTGTCCGCTCGGGTCCACTGAATCTGAAGCTGGAGCTTTGTTTTATCTCTACAATCCTAACATCTAATAAGTCACAATGTTTTTAATGTTGTATCTAATAGTAATAGGTTCGATTGTACAATATGTAATAAGTCCCTACATTTTGAATTTTGTACCCCACAAATCCCTAAACTTTTAAAAATGTCAAATAAGTCAATGGTCTACAAGACACAAAATTGAAAATTCAAAAACTTATAAGACACAAAATTAAAAGTTAAAACACATCAGACACTTTTAAATTTGAAAAATCTATTAGACACAAACATTTGAAAGTTTTGAAAACATATTAAATACTTTAAAGTTTAGGGACTTGTTAGATGTAATCTCAAAACTTCATAGACCAAACTTATAATCTAACCTATATTATTTCTCGATTTGACTCTAATTCCATCCTTAATGTTTCAAAGTTTTTTTTCTTAAATTCTTTTCATGACAATGTTAAAATTGGGCGGTATTTTAAAAATATTCTTATATTTAATTTCCTCGTAATTTACCACTTTATCTTTCCCGTCCCTCATTTTTAGGATACATATTTTAATTAAATCTTATTAGTAATCTCCATCATGACTTTTATTTTAATCAAAATCTTATCTTCACGTCTTTTTTAGTACATGTGGAGATGGAAAATTGAATTCACAGCCTCTTGATTGGAGACATATGTCAATTGCCATTGAGTTATGCTCGTTTTGACAAATAAAAGAGTTAGTTAATTCATATCAATTTGGTAGAATAGTTAAAAGAATTTATATATCAAAGTAAACTTCTCATCAAAGTTCAATACAATTTACTATACTAATAACGAGAAATATATAATTTAACTTAAAAATAATCGAAATAATTTGATTAAAAAATAGAATAATTATTAACATAAATATTTGAATGATATCATCTGAATCATTGTCCGTACGAGGATTTTTTTTTCAAATAATAACTAATTTAATTATTGAAATTTTTAATAAAAAACACCCCAGAATAGAAACAATATCATGCATGCACATTAGCAATTTAATATGTTATATTTATGGTTCCCAAAAAATATTGCATGAGAGAGAAAGAGAGAGAAGGGTAAATTTGGCAATATTATTTCAATTCATAAATTCAATGGTAGTTTGGAAGTTATATTCCAAAGTCTTTTTAGACGTTTATTTGGAACAAAAAAAAAATGGTAAAAAGGTGCTTAAAAAACTATTTTTAAAAATGGTTTTGTTTTAATTGAGAATAGTTAGAAATATAAAATTACCTTAATATTTAAGTCTACCTGTTATAGAAATCTATTTAAAATATAAATGAAAAATATTCCATTAAATTACAAATTCAGTGCCAGAACTTTTATTGGCTGTATCTATTTATTCTACGAATTAAAAATAATAATTCAATTATGATTCTAAAATTTTAATTTCAATTCTACTAAATCCACCTCTATGACTAGTATTTCAGGACTATATTTATTGAATTAACAAGTCACTTTTTAACATAATTTAACAATAGATGACACGAGAATTTATTTATCTTACTCTGCTCAAAAGTCACATCGTTTCAAATTTAGGAGTATTAACGGAGAAGAGATCCACGAAATTCCTCGCAGAATACTTGCAAGGGTCAAATTCCATATTCCACATTTATAACTTTTTTTTTTAAAGAGAAATGAATAATCCTCCACTAGGGTTAAATTTTTATTTTTATAATATACACAGATATATCATATGTCACATCAACATGAAACATAAATATTACTCTCGTAAGCTTATTAAAATTAAAATCAGATACAAACCATCAAAGTTTTCGTTTTTTTTGCATCACAATAACATATAAATGTAGATATTTTCAAATTTAAAATCTTTTGATCGAATATAGTGTGTCATCAGTTCAGTTAAATAGTCTAAAACTAAATTTATAATGAAATGAAAGAGATTATTACACGTTGAAAATAATTGGAAACAATGGCTTGAAGAATAACTTGGAATTTGGACCACAGATTTTGGGGAGATGGTTTCTTAGGAATCAATACTTTTCCTTTGTCAGAAAAAGACAAAACAAAATTACAACCAACAAAAATTAGACAAATAAGTCGGTAGGTCATATCATCACAGTCCCATTTTCTCAATTTTTAATTTGTATAGTTAATGGCTAATATTAATTGCCTTTATAAAAGGATATTTTTAGTAATTATTTTATTCTTCATTACTTTTCTTGTGTGTGTGTGTGTTTGAAAGATAAGTTCTTTAATTAATATTTCTCTTATTTTTCTACGTTTGCTGAATATTTTTTTAAAGGTTTCTTTCTTGGAAAATTTGGTTGAGGTTTCTATAGTAGTATTAATTGAATAAAGACTCGTTATCAATAAAGAAAATTTTTATAAAAAAATCTGAAAAAGGGCCATATACGAGACCTAAAGAATTTAATGCTGAAACTTAGGTGTTTGTGCATTTAAAGAATTTGATTTTTAGATGATTTTCTAAATTTATTGTTTGAAGATTGAAGATGCCGCTGGAGAAACATTTTAATAGTACACTGAGTATTCATGGGGTGTTTCCGCTCTAATTTTGTTTTTATAAATATTTCTTTAATTCTTATGAATCCACGTCAATTTTATGGCAGATATCAAATAATGAACGAGATTAGTATCTAGTGAAAATTTTATAATCTTGTTGGGTTATTTTTGGTTGGAGGTGACTATGTAAGAGGGGTGTGCATATATATGAAGCTTAATTACCTACAAAGATAAAGAGGTGTTGGACACGAGAAAGCTAGTCTTGTCACAAAAGGATTCACACAAATCAATGACATCGATTATCCAGAGACGTTTACTACTGTGGTCAAACTAAAAAGAAATTCATACAAGTCATTCTATCATTTGCCGCTAATAGATCTTGGTTACTCCTTTAGCTTAGAAGCTAAAATGAAATCAGTTATGTGGGTATTTTTCGCACTAAGAAGACTGATGTTGGGTTTATAAAGAGAATGCAAACAAAGTCTCACATTGGTTAAGGAAGGAAGTGGTACATGATATATGAGAGAGGACAATTATCTTTATTGGTACGAGACTTTTTGGGTGAAACCAAAAGCAAAGCGAGCATACTTTCATCTCCTTGTCAACCTTCATTTATGATGACTACTTAGGCAACTAGGTAATTATGACATTACTTGTCAGGAGGAATCTGCTAATTACAAAGTGAACTATACCACTTGTAAATACCTCACCTACACTTGGATACATTACTCACTCGAATTACCTCTTGTCCAGCAAGCAAAGAGTTACCTATGTGGATTCATTCAGATCTAGGTAGTTCCTTAGGCCTCATTGTGAGTTACAACTCCTTTAGGCTAGGTAACTTCTCTCGATCTCACGATGGTTGAGCTAATAGGTATTTTGACGCACATAAACTTTGTGCTAGGTACGACTCCGCTAGTAGTAATGTAGCAGAAAAGTGGTATGTTATTCTTAATTCTAAAAGCTAATTGTGAATTAAAAGCAAAAAGTTCCATTCCAAAAGAACTTTCAACATAATATATCAATTTCTAAACAAAAGAAAGAGATATAAAATACGAAATAAAAAAAAAACTCTTTGGAGAGCACTGTCTAAGGCAAGTTTTCCTAAAATCTCCATTATCTTTAGTGTGCGTTTGATATTGTAAATTAATCGATGCACCATTGAAGTAAATGAATAGATAAGCAAAAAGAAAGGAAAAAAAAAAGGTGTTGAAGAGGACATATGAACTCACATCACAATCCATGACCTAAAAAGAGAAGAAAAGAAAACAATATGAGGAGATAAGATATTTGTTGTATATGTTAAGATGAAATGCAAGTTGAGGAGGAAAATGGGTATCATTACATTTACATTATTATTATAAGATGTTCTGTCTTTTCAAAGGAATTAATGTACCACATATTATATTCTATGCTTTAAAAAGAGACGCAAAATTATTGAGATTCTAAAGAAACAGTCCTTCGCGGAGGCGCCGGAAAAGGGGACGGGGCATCGGGTCAACGACTTGTCGTTTCTCAATGCTTTTTGCCCGCCGACAACGCTTCAATTGTCGTCTCGTCTCCATTTCCGACGGATCTCCCTACTGTTTGGATGCGCGAATATGTTACACCTTGACGCTGATACGGACACTGCCCTATCCAATCTATTTTTGGATGAATTTCTCGAATATTTGATTGATTAAGCACTTTTAAGATTTCTTTTCTTTTCTTTTTGGAGAAATATATTTGAATATGTATGACTTTTAAGATATATGCCGGAATCTTTTAGCAACAAATTTTATTGTTTATCTAAATCTTTTAGAACTAGTTTAGAGACAATCCATAGATAAATCCCTACTCCTATATTAACTAAAAAAAAATCTTGAAGAGTCAAATTCACCTTTATTTCTTGGGTATAAGATGCAAGGATACCCCATTAAATTAAATTATGGGGAAATTGATTCCCAAAAACCATTAAAATTTCATCTCCATCGAGATTCTTAGTTTGTTCATCAAAGAATATTAGTGAACACTGCTTCAAAATATGCATATTTAGCACAAAAATAGGTATAGTCTAGTATACCAATAAGCATTCGGTTTGAACAACCCGACCTCACCTGACTTGACCCCGCACTGAAAAGGGAAAGAAAAGAAACGAAACAATGACAAATAACTACGTCTATTATCTATTTATTGAGTTCAGACATTAATTATGCCACAATACATCGTTCCACGTTGTTCGACTTCTTATAATTTTTCAAACACAACAGCCAAAATGATCATAGTGCCTCGCAGAAACCATCATCATTCAATAGTATGCTTTCCGGGGGTTGTTCTACCAAAACCAAAAAACATGCATATTATAACCTACTTGATTAACATAGGCATCAAAGTAAGCAACTTGGAAAAAAAAATGGGTGTGATACGTACCAGTGGGTTTGGTCTGTAACGATAACCAAGCATCATGCGCTTCTTATACTGCTCGTATATGTCATCCTCAGGAGTTACCTCACCAGGTTGATGAGCTCCAACACCCAAGTTGTTTGTTTTCACGTCGCCAGCCATTATAGGATCCGCAATACCACTCTTGGAGCTTCCCAGACCCTCACCTGCGATTCTCTTGGCATTATTAGTTGGTTAATTCCTCCGTTGTGAAATAAAGTATCACTTTAAGGTTGAACTTTAGTCCCCAGAAAACAGGTTAATGACTTATCAAAAGATTCAGAAGAATGAACTTAGATATAGATCTAATTAAAAATTTTAGAGCTTCAACAATTGGGTGACTCCAGCCAGGCATTGTTTAAGTCCAGTGGTGTATGTACGGTTGGTATGTGCAGTGTGTCCTGTGGTGTGAGAGCAAAAGGACGAGAGAAAGGGAGAACCTTCTTTCCATCCCATTTTGGATAGGAGTTTGTGCCCCACATTATCAGCCTGGATTTTAGCCTTATCAGCAGCATCTCTGGAATATTTCCGGGCAGATGCATCATTGCAMGTAGCTAAGAACTTTTCGAGCTCCTCATGGGGAATGAAGTCACCCATGTGATGCCCCCTTTTCCCTGAAGCTGTCCCCCAAAAAAGAAAAGTTCAAGCAATAACGCCAATAATGCCAAAAGCTACTTAAATGATGGTCAACCAAATATATACTCCAATAACAGTAATTTCTCATAGACAAAAAAGGGAAAAAATAACTATGGAGCCGGGCCTTGATACCTTGAAGAGAAGCAGGTGGGGGCATTTCATCTTTTGACTGTTTAGGTTGTCTCATCCTCTCTTCACGTGCAGCTTTCTTCATGTAGAACTCCATCATTGCAATTGGATCTCCACTTGATGGTGGCCCACCTTAAAACGTGAAACCCCACATGACAAGTACAACATCAACACAATGAACACAGAGAGGACGAGGACTGAGCAGCAGTCTAAAGAAAATACCATGCCTAAAAAAAGAAGCTCTGAGAGGTATATAACAGAAGGGGGGATGGGGGATGGGGGATGGGGTGGAGTAAAAAGAGAGAGAAGAAAAAGAAGAGAAGATCAAGATGATGTCCCCAACAGAATTAAGGGGAAGAGCAGCAGTTCAATTAGAAGAAAAATTGCAGGACAAAAAGAAGTTAATCTGTTGAATTTACTTGTCCTTTCAGACCATGCAGCAGTAGTAGATGAACCCACGGAAGCTCTTGGATCCTCAGATGATTCATACAAAGCAGAGGCAGGGGTTTGATAATTTGAAGATGAAGACTGCTGGAAAGATTTCTGGGAACCAGTTCTTGACTTAGAAGTTTGCGTGCTCCCACCATCTATACATCGAAAAGAGAAAATGAGTGTCAAAGGCAATTCAATCTCCCAAAACAATGCAGGCAGTCCCTAGTAGACTAATGTCTTTCATAAGAAATGTGAACTTGTATTTTGTAGGGAAGAATTTAAAAGAAAAATAAGATGAGACACATCCAAAAAATATAAGTTAAGAAGTTTAGAAGTACACAATTGTTGATCCCTAAGAAACTTGATACTTAGGAACCTTGGGGAAAATCTAATTCATGCAACCCATGAGGGCCATGACCACCTGCTCGAAAAAAGTCTAACTGCTACCCAAACCCTTGGGTTCCCTCTCTCAAATAAAACATTCCAAACACCAAAATAGAATTTATTGACACCAATTCTTTTTTTCAAAGGTTGCAATATGAGACTCTAGAGAGAAGCCCGTACCACTAGATGATTTAGATTCTATGGTTTGTGAAAGAGCCCTTTCTTCTTCAGCTAGCTGATATTCGTAGTATTTGTAATCTGCAGAACTCTCATCGAATAAAAATCTGCAAACATAATAGACATATTCATAGAGCTTTACCAACTTGAGAAGGAAAATATGATAGTTGATAGCAATGCTATTGAAGTCAAGTAAGAGATGACAATTATTCGTTTTAGAGAACATTGTGGTAAACTTCCCAAGTTTCTTCTACCAAAAGAAGGTAATGAAACCATACCAAGACAAAAATTTTATTGATCAAGACATTCATCGACCAAAACACTTTAGGAGAATAACTACCACATGGAAAGCTCATAGTGACCATATTTACAATGCACCCATGTCAAGGTATAATTTTTAAAAGATCACATTTGAGAGGTTAAGAAGCAAATACCAAATTAAGCCACAAATACTAGAAAACAGCAGAAAGGAAAAGGTTGAGAAAGAATAATGCAAGGAACCTTTTTAAACCACATCAAGAACTTACTTAAAAGGTGTATCGCCAGGATTCTTTTGGCGAGTAACATGCTCAAATTGCCTTCCATGTTTAGCCACAAAACTTGCTAGCTTGTCGGCAACTTTCTTCACTGTAGGATCACTTGGGGAAGGTGGTGCTGCATATCACTTATAAAACTGATTAATACCAAGAGCATGAACAAGTGAATGCAAATTACTCTTGCAGCAGGCTGCTACATATTCCAATTCTTTCATTGAACATCTCTTCCACCAATGTTGAAAGGTATTAAAGGTATACACTGCATTCATGAGACAAGAAATTTTCAAGAGTGCTTTGTACTCTACATCTGAAGCATTCCAAGTTTTAGAAGAGATTTAAACTCACGGTCCCAACAAAGCCAATGCAGTGGAATCAAAGGAAAATGGATTAAGACCTATATGGAAGTTTTATATAAAAATAGGAAAAATTATGCCCAAAACCCCCACTCAATAGTAACGCCTGTATGAAAATTCAAGAAAAAGGTACAACTCTTTGTTCAAATAATTTCAACAAAAAGATGGAAGGGTGAAGAAAAAATCAGGAAGAAATCTTAAAATAGAGAGGCAGAATACAGGACAGGAACATCTCCCAACATAGTTCTTTTCAACTTAAACCTATTGTGATCCAACAATCTCCGTGAACCAAACCCCATCGGCACCATTGACAAGGGCATGGGATAACACCTACTAAGAGGTCCCGGGTTCAAACTTCCAGATGAGCTTAATATGAAAAATCTTTGATGTCTCTCAGTTCCAGACTTTGCACCAGGGCTGGTGCAAGTATCCTTGATTATAGGGAAGTAATCCACAAGCTAAATAGCTTCGGTTCCAAGTTATCAAGAAATAAAAAAATCTCCATGAAACAAAAATAAAATATAAACATTATTTATGTCCCAAATTACTTGCCAACAGCAGTAGATAACAGTTGTTTAAGACAACAAATTCCGTCAACTTGTCAATAAAAAGATATAAAAGACGCCAATAGATAGCTTCTAGCTATGCTCCATGATAATAGAATTTAAATTATGATGTATTGAACATGCATAGAACAGACCAGCTAAAAGAAAATAATCAGTTCACCACAGCAACCCAGAAAACCATTAAATGCTAAGTTTATTGGCTTAAATCTAAATATCTGATCAGTACTTGCCATTGATCCCAACAAGAAAGGAGTGTCAGTATAAAGTAGTAATTACCAACACCGGATTGACCTGCTGGTTGCTCAGCACCATCCTGTGAGCCTAACTTTTGACGCTTATCTGGTACATTATCAGATGCATCTACCGCATCGGATTCATCTTCATCCTCATCTCCTCCTAACTTTACAGGTGTCACAAGCTTTGACTTCTGCTTCAAGCTGAAAGCAAGTTTTCCAGATGGAGGATTTTTTCGAATCTCACCACCCTTAAACTGCATATTAGTTTTACTACTAGTACTGTGGGGAATGGAAGTTCCTGCTACAAGCTTGATTGGTTTTGGCTCCTCAGAAGTAGCACCTTTATCCTTTTCCTTATCCTTGTCACCATTTTGTTGTTGGAGTTGTTTAAACCTTTCCATAAATGAACCATCATTGACAAAAAGGGTAGGGGGCATTCCTTTGTCCATTGAGGGTCACTTAGATCTCAGGCTGCTTAGACGAGTCATCATTAGACACACAGGAATCCAAACATTTAAAACGATGAGGTAAAAGTAGAGTACTAAACTTGGCACCTTAACAGACAAACCTTGTAAAAATAAAAACAATATTCAAATCATCCAGAAACAATTGGTAAATTCCAAAGGGTAGATGAAAACCTTCTCTATTCAAAACCCCCTGTGACTTTTGCTCTAGTTAAATATAACATTTTCATGCCACATAAATATAAAGAAAAACGTATAATCACAGTTCAGCAGACCCTAAAGTATATCGACACCTTCCATTGATATATCATAAACACATCAAAACAGTGGCAATTTGTAATAAGATAAGAACAAGATGCTTACGTGAACAAATTAATTCAAAGAATCGTCCACAAAAATATCTTAACCCAAGATGCTTACGCATGGCATCATAATCGAACTTCGATCACAAACTCGTAACAAATCAAAACGACCAATACTAAATAAAATTAACAACGACCAGACCCAGAAACCGATTACCAAATACAGCCCTCCAATATTTCCGTAATATTGATGCAGGTAAAATTTCGAGAGCCCATATCAAAATGTTGAACGCGTGGAAAAACACCACATAAACATCCAAAAAACAAGAAAAAAACCCTAATCCTGAACCTAATTGGCAGCAGAGAACAATGGTAATTGAAACTGAAAACACAAGCAAATACACAATCTAGAACGACCGACAGCGAGAAACTAATATTAAACCAATCAGAGTAAATCATTAACTGACCAGAACAATCTTTAATCTCAGAATGAAAAACTTACGCTTCGTCTGCGAAAATGGACGCCGGACCGAATCGATTCGATTCGATTTCGCTAGGCTTGTTTAGAAATCGATGGAAAAAATTGAGKAGCAATTGGATTAAAACGAATCATTAACTGGCCGGAACGCTGGGCAATCTRTGTTTCGCGCAGAAAAGTGAAGTAGAATAGGAGAACGCCTCTTCGCTCGTCGGTCATACAAAAAATATAAAAAGGGAAATTTTCAGTTCCGTATGAGATGTCCGCAATTTGATTAAATAACAGAAGAGAAAAAAATAAAAATAAAATGTTATGTGGAAATTAGAAAGCTAGCCCTAAAGTTTAGGTTATTTGTGAGCTAGACCTAAATTTTATTTTCATGCTCGGTTGTCAAACATTTTAATATTTTATTTTAATATCTTTTAAATTATAAATGTTTTTATTTCATAAACAATACATAAAAACAATTTTAATTTTTTGACACTGATTTTTTTATTACTTAAATGAATTTAGAATTCAACTCGAACTAGGTGTGGTTTTAAACATAGATATACATATATCAAGTAGACTAATAAAATATATTTATGATAAGTTTTTGTTATATAATATATTAAACAAATTAATGGCAAATATCGAGAATAATTTTTTATACAAATTTTAGGAGTAAAAAAAATTAGAGACCAAAATGTAAGAAACATGAAATGTTGGGTATAATATATAATATTTTAAAAATTTAGAAACCGGCATGAAATTTAAAAAGACCAAAATAGTATTTAAACTTTATTTAACATGTATTAAAATAAAAATTTACTCATATAAATATAATAAAAAGTATAATTCAGATTCATAAACTTTTGATGGGAGATAGAAGTCTAAATCAGTTGATTTAGGAATCGTGATAATGATCGAATTTATCCTGGTTCCAAAAAAAAAAATGTAACGACTAGATTCTAAACCATGACAAGAGTCTGGAGTTTATAGTCGAGAAAATGCAATTTTTTCTAACCTCGTCTACTTTTTTTAGTTTTATTTGATGATAATTAATTATAGGTGCTTATATTTCAAATTTTTTTATCATTTGTAAAAGTCAATTTGATTAATTGGATCACCATCACTTCTTAAAAAAAATATTAAAAGTTTAATTAAATCATATTCATGATCCATCCCTCTACAGTACAAGTTTGACTTTGACCAGTCATACCCTCAACTATCATATTTTATTAATGCACATTATCCTCACTTAGAATTCCGAAGGCAGCTCTAATGGGCATTACATTTTTGTTCGTTTTTCACTCCCTATGCTGCTGCTGCTTCTTCTACGCTCGCCTCTCCATCTCCATCACCCCAGAATGCCACTCTGCTGACTTTGAAGCCCTGCAGCGCTTTGCCAATCTGGTCGAGCCTCCGTTTCAGGGTTGGGACCCGTACTATGGCTCTTCCTGCTGCACTTGGAAAGGAGTCACCTGCAACTTCGACGATTCCGGTGTCGTATCCCGAGTTGTCGCTTTGGAACTTCCGGGCCAGAGTTTGGGAGGAAAAGTTCCAGAGTCTTTGGCAGATTTGGTTCATCTCACAACTCTCAACTTGTCAGCCAACCTTCTCACAGGTTCTCTCCCGCCCAATGTCTTCCTCTTGCAGCATCTCCAAGTTCTTGACTTGAGTTCCAACTATCTCTCTGGCCATGCCCCATTCAATATCAATTCATCTTCCATCAAGTTTATAAACATTTCAACGAATGGATTTACCGGAATTTTCGATCCTCGAGGCCTATGTCGAACTGCAAAACAGATCAAAGTATTGGATCTGTCCTCAAACATGTTTCAAGGGAATGTTCCATCAGGTTTTGGGAATTGCAGTTCCTTGGAACACCTCTCTCTGGCTTCCAACTCTCTCTTTGGGAATTTGCCTCAAGATCTGTTTGCTTTGTCCAGGCTCAGAAATCTTGACCTTAGTGATAATGGGTTCTCCGGGGAGTTGAGTTTCCAAATTGGGAACCTCTCGAATCTCGTCTTCTTGGATATTTCTTCAAACCGATTCTCGAAATGGCTCCCGGATGTCTTCTTCCACCTCCGAAAGCTTGAGCAATTYGCCGCATCGTCGAATAACTTCACAGGTGTTTTGCCTGTTTCATTGTGCAATTCACCAACCATTTCATCGCTTAGCCTTGACAATAATTCCTTCAGTGATTCAATCAATGCTATTAATTGCTCAGCCATGGTTCGTTTGACATCTCTGAACCTTGGCTCCAACCATTTCGTTGGCAATTTAGGAAGTCTCTCATCTTGCCACCGACTTCGAATCGTAGTTCTTTCAAGGAATTGTTTCGATGGTGATTTCCCAGACAGCTTCAAGAATCTCAAATCACTTTACAGCTTATCGATGTCGAGTAATGGCCTGCGTAATCTATCAGCAGTATTGACAACTCTACAACATTGCAGAAACTTGACTATATTGCATCTTAAGTTCAATTTCTATGGAGAGGTTATGCCATTCTACGATTCAAACTTCAGATTCGACAATATCAGACTATTATTTATTGCTAATTGTGGGCTTACCGGTTCAATTCCTCCATGGCTGAGCAGTAGCCCCAAGCTGCAGATTCTGGACTTGTCCGGTAACGCTTTGAGTGGAGAAATTCCGTCATCGATTGCTGCTTTGCGATCCCTCTTCTACTTGGATTTATCCAACAACTCATTATCCGGCCGAATCCCAAGCAGTTTCACCCAATTTCAAACCCTCGTTAATTTCAACAACACGTTAAAAGAGGACATAATCGAGGGCTTCCGCATTATCAACAAAGAGATCCGAAACTCATGGCGACCATACGTGAAACTTTCAGAGGTTCCGCCATCACTGTACCTTGGTTACAACGAATTGAGCGGATCCATTTGGCCGGAGTTTGGGAATCTGAAAGAACTCCATGTACTAGACCTAAGCAACAACAAACTATCAGGACAAATTCCAACCACTCTATCAAAATTGATGAATCTGGAAATCTTGGATCTATCATACAACGATCTAACAGGACCAATTCCAGCTTCACTGCAGTACCTCCACTTCCTTTGGATGTTTAACGTGTCTCACAATCAACTCCAGGGCCGCGTCCCTTCCAATGGGCAATTCCAGACATTTCCGAGTTCGAGCTTTGAGGGTAACGATGAACTCYGTGGATTCCTAACTCTTCCTTGTGAGGAACAAGAAACTGGATCCACCGACGAAGGAAACTCAACGAGTGAAGATGAAGAAGAAGGGTTTGGGTCTCTGGTGAGGGCGCCATTGGGCATCGGAGTTGCGTTCGGGTTTGTCACGACGGTATTTTGGGTCCTAATGTTCTCGTA